CTTTCTATTTTATTCCACACGAAATGACGATTGAGGATCACTGCCAGGAAATGTTCAAGGACACGTGAGATGAACCATTAGGCACGAGCATTTCGATTGCCCTCCATCCTTTTGGCCCCGTCTTCATTCTTCCAGCCTGAGGTACTTCAATCTCCAACGGAGTGCTGTTGTGACATCGCTCATATAAAAATCATGTCATCTCCTCTCCATTCAGAGTGTCCCCTCCGGTTAATGTATAGTAAAAAGGAGAAAAAGTGTGCCACCCTTTCAAACCCCACAGTCATTACTAGTGCTTTCAGCTGGCATGCCTCATCATCTCCCATAAAAACTGCTGTGTCAAAGGTATAAAGAGACCATCTGTGCCATTTCCAGCATCCTGCCCTTTATAATAAACCTTGTGTGAGAATTGAAAATTAGGGCAAATGCACCACTTCTGATGATTCATTATGATAAATCACGTCATGTTAATTTATTGGGACTGATGTAAAATCTGAGCCCAGCTTTTTATGCATAAAACAATCCCTGGAAGATGTTATTCACTAGAGTACATTGTGCTCATGATGTACATGTAGATGCCCTGTTAAGCAATTTAGCAGCAATCAAATTCATAATTGCCCATTCACTGTTGCCTTCAGGCGAGGCTTCCGAGACTCCATCTTTCGTCTCCGGCCTCACTTGCTCACAAAGGCCGCCTAACCTGACTCACCTAACCAAAAGCAGCTGGCCGCAGTGGCTACCTGGAAGTCTGCTTAGCTTTACCTAGCACTCAGTAATTACATGGCCATTAGGGCACCTCCCAGCACCAAACCACACAGAGGGCTAAATTCAAAATCTGTCAGTGATTAATTACCAGTTGCCCACTGAGTTGAGGATATCTAAAGGGATTGGCACAACTGTAATTGTATCATGCCACTGGGATTACACACTTTGTGAGGCGGAAAGGGGGAGTGCAACCCAGCTCGGCCACGAGGAGTTGAAAAGGATTGATTAGGTTGAGTTTTTGTGGGCTGTGTGTGTGTGTGTTTAGTTTTGATTCTGCTTAAGTGATTCAAATCTGGACTTGACAGAGCAAGCCAAACAGCTATTGCTGCATCTGCTTCTGGTTTTATTTCAAAATCTTCAGACGTAACAGCCAACTGATATGACCCCCTGCTGCCCCTTTGCCCTTGACAACCAGCGTTGGGTGTTTAGTGGGGAAAACAAAGTTCCGCACATTACAGGTTGTATGGTTCTGTTTTCTCAAGAGCACTTTGGCTGGTGTTTAGCTGCCAGGCTTTTTGAAGCGTTAACATCAAGAAATGCTGCAGAGTGGGGAAAAGGGGATGCAGGGGAGAGGGAGGGTTTGAGGCGTTCGGGTGAGTAAACAGGGAAAGAGCACAGCACCAGTGCTTGCTGACTGCACATTTTATTATAGTCCCATTAAACAACAGGCCCCACTTGGAATGCAGATCCCAGGGGAGGAGAAGGTACACAAAAAAATTAAAATGAAAACTTCCCGCCAATGCTGAAACAATTATAAGGAGACCCGGTTCACAGTGTGGCACACAGAGTGGGTGTGACTCCAGAGACTTCAAACCAACTTAGTTTAGTTTGTTTTTCCCCCTAAACCCAAGTTTTTTATACATTAAATTTATGGTGTAAACGTTTTTCAAACTCAGGGGGCAGTCCAGAAAAACTGAAGATGAAAATGTGGAACGGAATCCCTTCTTAAAAAGATATACCCCACCCATTTAACCTTGCACTTCTATAACATTGTCAGACTCACAATGACAGTGAGTGCAACAATGGAGGAAAAAAAGTATCAATTTGTGTGTGTTATGCCAGTAGTAATGTAGCCTCAAGCTGCTAGCCTTAAGAAGAGATAAAGAGTGGGCTATGGAGGTCTGGTAAGCTCACTTCTAAAGCTAAAAGTCAAGGGATCAGCAAAATTGCTCCTATTTGCTCCCCACTGAAGGGAAAAATGTCTGAATCAAATTTCATGCAAATCCATCCAATAATTGTTGAGATATTTCACTGCGAACCAAAAATCTCAACCTCTTAGTGGCTCTGGAGAAAAAGTCAGGGCATCATCGATCTAGAGCTAGAGATATTTCACTAACACAACAAAAATGTCAACTTCATGGTGACACTAAAGTCAGTAGGATCCACTTTCTGTAACACATTTCATGACAATCCATCCAAATGTTGTCGAGACATTTAACTAAAAACATACATTTCAACATGCTGTTGGTGCAAGCCGAATAGGTCCGGGATCACCAAAGTCAGCGTTAATCCTCTGAAGACCACGAATCTCTGCACAAAATTCACGGCAATCCATCCAAAGTACTTGTTGAGATATTTCAGTCTGGCCCAAAGCGGCCCAACCAACATTGCCATCCCTAGAGCCGGAACAATCTCAGGTTCAGCCCAAGTGTGAAAATGCTTTTAGTCCTGAAAACTGAGCGCTAAACCAGACACTGTTTGAATGACAAATGGCACCATAAAAAAACTTCACCTTCATTAACCAAGAATTACATCAGCATGAGCAAAATATACTTTAAGTTTATGACAGACTCTCTTTGATAAAGATGGTACAAACTTCCTCTGATTCAGAAGCAACCTATAAAACATCCTGGAGCTATGGACCATTGCTCTGTCTTTGCAACCACTCCATCTTCTTTGACAGCAATAAAGTGAAGACTGTGAAAAGCACATTACGGTCCTCCCCTCTAAGAAAAAAAAAAAAAAGCCACATCTGAGCCAGGGGCTGTCTTCTAGACAGAAGAGAGAATAAATATTGAGTGAACCCATTCAGCATTCATTTGCTATGAGGATATTTGGCCTGAAAAAGCCCACTCCGAAGCATTAACAAAGTTGCATGTGTAATACACTTACACTGCATTAACATCAACATTAGGCTACAGATTCTTCAAAGAATACTGATGATATATGTGTTTTGTTTGTAACCATAGTTAAAAAAAAAAAAAAAACTACGGGATGTGTACTGTACATGAAAAAAAAAAATCTAATCAAATTTGTGAGTGCCAGTTTTCCGAGATCCAGCTCAGTGCCGCCTCGGTCTTAGCGTCGTTGCGCTTCATTTGATGTGAAATGTTTTCATTGTTTTATTTCTGCCCTTTACAGAAATGTGGTGGGAGAAAATAAATAGAAGACATATGATAGGGATGGAGAACAGAGAGCAGCATGATTGTGAGAGTCTCATTATGGTTAATACTTCCAGTACTTTTGGCTCAGTAATTCAGGCATTCCCACTCTGCAGATGAGTCATTCGCAAATTGATAAACCACTTGTTAAAACTGAAAAGAAATTGAGCCATTCATTTAGGATTATGACTTTCATCAGTCTTGTTTCTTCTCTCACCCATGTCTGATTCTGATAGATGTAATAATCCTGTATGTATCTGATAGGGGGAATCTCTTTGTTTTAAAGGAGAAGTCAGAGGTCAGAGACAACAACAGAACACTCGCCACCTTTAGGAAGGATTCAGCCTCCTGCCCAAGGACACATCAGTCCTGCTGCACAGATGCTCCCAGACACCTCGACTGTCCATCCAAAACTGCAACCACAAGCCTACTCTGCACAATGTCACAACGAAGGCTTTTCCAGAGAGGTCACCTACAGTATGTTCACACTTACTGTATCACATTTCCAGCTGGAGCCGTGATCCGGACAAACCCCTTTTTATCAAACAAACAGAGAAAAAGTAGCGAAAATATGTCAGTTTCCTGCAGGATGTAGTCTACTACTGTAGTGGTTCAGCGGTGTAGTTACACGGAGTGCAGTCTGCCAGAAACAAGCATAACATTCACATCTGCCTCAACGAGAGTTCTTGGAAATGCTACTGCCATGCACAGTGACATGTTATTTATAAAGGTGAGATATTAAACTTCATTCTGATTTCAAGGACTCCTTTTATCACCACTGACAGGGGTTGAGAATCCTGTTAGACAAACCTTTGGTATTCTAAAAACGCATGATTGTCAGTCACCTTGTAAGAACATTTCACATGAAAAAAGCACAAAACGCAGTGAGCAAACACTTCAATAAAGAAGAAGAAAGAAGTAAGAGATGCAGATATCTTTGCTGTCCTGTGAAAACCATGTATCTGCAAAATGTCAACTTTTTATGAGCTCAGAAATACATTCCTGTTTTCAGCAAGAAGTAGGGTACACTTAATCCTTCAGTTTATCTGAGTAAGTTTAAATCATCACAACTGGAGATACGTGGTTTTCATTCAACAGAGACGGTATGCAACTCCTACATCGGAATGAATGAAATCATGCTATTAAATGCAATAAATGGAGATGAAAGACCTTAATCTGCTTTGCATCCACAACCCAACATCGAGAAAACATTCGTAATGTACTGAAATTTTAAACTGCACCGCCATCTGAACTTTACATTAGAATTTGATTCTAGCTTATGTGGTGGCAATTTTGTATCCATATTGCCAGAACATGCAGGGTTCTTTAAAACCTTTACTGGAGCTTTCCATCACATACTTAGAAGGAGCATTGATTGTTTTCTCTGACAGCAATGCCCCCGACCTTGACTCCATCCCAAAATGATCAGAATGCTGACCCATGCTGGAGGAATAAATGTTTCCATCTACTGGTGGGAAATGTGAATTTCAAGAGGCTTTTTTTTCTCTCTCTCTCTCCCTCCAAGTGGACAAGTGAGCAGGCAGCATCACAAGTCAAACAACCTCTCAGCACCTCTATGTATAGACCACTGTTAAATACCTTTCTTTCTGTTAAGTGTAATGGCCGGTCAGCTGTTTGCATCCCTCACAGCAGATCTCCTCCCCAAACTATCATCACTATTCAGGCAAACTGTCATGTGTCATCGGTTTCAATGAAATAAACTAAAGGACCTGTTCAGAAAGCTTCCATTCATTCTTACAACACAAACAGGCTGGTGTGTGCAGAATCCAGAGTCTTAAACACCAACAGACAACCACATGTCCAGAAAGAACTGGGAAAAGTAGTTTTATTTTTTACCTGGAGGGCAGTTGCATTCAGGTGATGCTTGTCTGGCAGTCCGGATCTTGACAAAATGTTCATAAGAGCGCTGAAATAGGAAAAGAATGGCATTTTCATTCATATGCACATGATGCTTTCAACAAAATCTAAGTATGTGAGAATGATTTCTGTGAGGCTGTCCACTGCTAGTGTCAATCAAGTGGCTAAAAACAATGAACTCAAGGAAGACAAGAGCCACAATCTTACCTGAGAGAGCAGCTCATCCACTCTTTGTTCAATCAGTGAATTAAAAGCATCCATGGAGTAGCCAGGGGCGCGGATAAAGGTGTGCTCGCCATTCCCACTCTCCAAATCCACAACCCGGTTCTTGATATCAGCTGCGTTAATGCTCAGAAGAATGCAAAAGGCGATGGATGCCACTGAACATAAAGACGAGATTATGTTCAGCACTGTTGTGCGGTAACACTGTCGCTTCTGGGGCGCCACTTCTTTCTCCATTTTTTCCACGCACTTGGATGCTCCTCTTGCCTCCGCGATCTCCATTTAACTACAACTACACGCGCTGTTGGGAGCAAAACTGCATCTGGCGCCGAGTCACGAATTTATGGCACACTGTTCTGTATCTCTCTCTCTCTCTCTCTCTCTGTGTGTGTGTGTGTGTGTGTGTGTGTGTGTGTGTGTGTGTGTGTGTGTGTGTGTGTGTGTGTGTGTGTGTGTGTGTGTGTGTGTGTGTGTGTGTGTCTGCGAGGCGGCGTTCACGTCCAGTGACTTTGTGGTGACAGCGACAGATAGATGAGTGGATCTCCACTCCAGCAGCCAAACGCGAGTAAACCTGTGTGACGGCGTGTTGTCGCTCCTGCAAACTTGTTGCACGGAGCCTCGCACAGAAGTCTGCTGCAGAGGAAATTGCTATTATGCACAATAAAGTCGAAAGAGAGACTGGGGAAATGGAAGTCGGCGCGCATGTAGTGGAGACAGCGTTTACCACTCGGAGCTTTTCCACAGCGCAGGCATGCTCCCCCTCATTACGGCAACAACACGCCTCCAATCTGTCCTGACTGATTAACATAATTTATTGACCCGCTCCTTTTGCGCTCTCGCAGTGGAGCGCATTGCCATTAGTTGATATAAAGTGCAGTTATATTGTATTCCCGCCAGTTATAGAACAACGCGGCGCTGCGTAAAGAGCCAATTAGTACTTACATTTTCAAAAAAATGTGGTTTACTGCAAGACAGCAAATACGTTTAAGATAATAAATCTTTCATGGAGTTATCGTGTTGTTTAAAATTCACTATGTAACTATATAAAAACTGTATTTTTCTGCAGCCAATTTATGGCAGCGCTAACATGTTTTTTTGGGCCAGGGCGCTGCGTAAAAACGCACGAAAATATCTCTTTCTGAGGTTTGGGTGGATAGAAGCACTCACTAAACTGTCCAAATGTGGGAGAATAGCACATCTTATTGATTGATGATGTTCAATAGACATCATGTGGAGAGAAGAGAGTCACAGAGAGCCCATCACCAGCGCTCAAGCAGAGCCCCACAGTCTGTGTCCCCTCTGTACTGTTTGGTGCCTTGAATTCTGATGGCAGACAATGCACACAGACCATCAGTGATTCACATTACATGAAAAAAAAAGGGGGGGTAAGGAAAAAATCATTTTGAGAAAGTCCTGCAGGGTTCAGAACTAAAGCACTGACAGAAATGAAGAATGCATCTACACATTTTTGCCCTTTGCATCAACTCTAATCCACATTATAGCTGCACAGTGTGCATGAATGGCAATGATAATCAAATGTATCACTAGGCTTTGGCTCAACCTCCTGGCTTACATAAGAATCAATACAACAAGTGTTCTCTCTGTTAATGCATCAGTGCTGAAGGCTGCGATCTGAATTTAATGTGCAGGCTGCTAGTTTTAAGATATATTTAATTAACAGCAATATCAACATCTGTCCCTCTACACCCATTTCAAGATGGCTAAATGTATTTCTGAGTGACTCTGATGACACTGAATAGAGAAGTCATTTTTTCATTATGCAGCCAAAAAGGACTTCAAATATCCATAAACCTCTGCAGACTACTTATTCTGGTGTTCTTCTTTTCCAGCGTTTTTGCATTTTAATGCTTCTCTGTGAAACTATATCTTCACTCAAAATCACTCAGGATGAAGGATACGGGTGCACAGAGGTCTGAGTTATCTGACTCATCCAAATGTCCTCCATATAACCAAGTGCATTCTACTGGAATAATTTGATTTCTAAATTAGCTCTTAATAGTTTTACATTCCTAAACTTCAAGTTCATTTCAGCACTTTCACATGGGCCAAGTCTATTATGCTAATGCTAAAATCAGACATCATAATCTCTCTGGCATTTGGTAATTTGGAACAGTTAAACTACCAGGATGACTAATGGAAATGAACATTTTTCAGGTGGGGGAGATGCTGTCAAATGCCACATCCAGTGGAAGAACATGTCCACAAAGGAACACACAGCCTCTCAAGAGAACTATTGTTTGCATTGTTTGTGTCAGAATCAAATGAACACAAGCAGTCCTACAGCACTTTAAATTAATTAGTTACCAAGTTCAGCATTCACATTATTGTTTTGTTGCATAATCTGCAGGCTTGGAGTGCAAAACCTCTACCCATAATGCTTCATGTAATGAGAGATAGAGGTGATAATTGCACACAGGAGATTATTATTATTATCATTATTATTATTATTATTATTATTATCTTACCTGATTAGGCCTCTTCAGGTAAAAGACTGTTTGATTGACATCTCCCTCAGTCTCCTATTAGCTTTGTGGCAGCTGTTAGGGTGGGACAAGTTTCCCTTTTATAATTCTTATTCTTCAACCTGAGCAGCCAGAATAACTGAAAACACCTGTGTGCGTGCAAGTGCAGGGCTTTATTTAAACACATATGTCCAGTTCTTGTATTTCATTTTGACTATGTAACTTTATAAATGTGACCTAACCTAGTTACCAATGTGCCTTTAACTTACAGGTACTTTGAACATAAATCCAATTCTGATGTTGTTCTCACAGTTCCTTAACTTAATATGCTGAGCTGTGTTTTGTTATTATTTAAATAATTAGTTAATTCCTTTACAGAACTAGTGTGTCAGAATTTCCCATGAATTTGAAAGTCTATGGTTGCATCTGGTCTAAATGCTGCTTCAGAGACCTCTCCACCCTGCAAATAATACAGTTCAATAAGAAACACTAAATATTTAATGTTATGAGAATTACATTAACCAGAGTGCTGAATATCAGAACAAAATACTAAAATGTAAGTCTACAGATATCAGTAACTAGGCCAGTTGTCAATGTGAACCTTCCTGTTTGTAAAACCAGACATTTTCTCAGATATTGTGGTGTACAAATATGTACAGATTATCAAGAGTTTGCTATCTTTAAAAAAATTCAAAGGAAATCATCATCATATTTAATTCCTCATGACTAATTTTTCTTTTAGATAATTGTTTTCTTCTTTATTTTCATGTGTATTGTCTGCTGATTGGTGCTGCATTCTTCTGCTCATTTTGTGCATTTCTTATTGTGGTTTATGTATTTGTTGAGTCATTATCTTTCTTGTTTTCTAAATTAAGGGGAGGTCCATTGTATAGGCCTATGTCCTCTTGACCTCTCCGGCCATCTGTTCTGGTTTTCTGCTGTTGTCTGCAAATAAAAAAAGCTAATTTACTGTAATAGAATAATAATAATAATAATATGCTTTAACTCAAGTTCTGTTTTAAGCTACTCCCAGTTTGCAGCAAATGTTTTGTTAAAAAACTGTCAAATCTATTATTATTATTACTAATTAAACTATTTCTGTAAATGTAGGTGACACAAGAGAACTGAAAGTGGAATTGTCACAGCCTAATGTGGACCTAATGGTCTTTCTAGATTACTTTTTTTTTTAAAGCTTTGGACGCCATCTAGTGGACAAACACAGCAATGCCGTTGATTTTGAGGATTCAATAATCCATAATTGAACATTTGTGCGTGGCAGAATGCCCATGAGTACATCCGGTGAAATGAGTATTTCACAAGGTCACAGTTGTGCTGTGTGTGTGTGTGTGCGTGTTTGTGTGTGTTGATCCTCTCTCTCTTTTCCCCACTTTTTTTTTTTTGGACATGACTACAAAGTGACAGATGGACCAAGTCACGTTGCAAAATGCACGACCCGTCTGCGCCTTGCATATTCAGCATAATAAAAAAAGAAACATAATCTCGCGTAGGCTGAAAGTCTAACGCCATCTGATTTCAAAAGGGGACACACACACACACACACACACACACACACACACACAGGACTCTGTATCTTTCAAAAGTAGCTGCTCCTCTGTATGTAACGTCAGGGTTTGGAATCCTCTTTACGCGCAAAAAAAAGCGCATCATCACGAGCTGCGTCCTCTCCTTGACGACCAGCCTGCATCAGAGTGTCATCCACTCTGTTTATTTTTAGAAGCTCTCGGCCGCTGCGTGCTACCCTCGTTCAACACACACCCCATGCTCCTCCGGTCAATAATTCATATGCCGTAGGCCTGCAGCGAAGAGTCACAGAGCAGGCTGCCACAACTCCGAGCCACAGGACGCCAAAAAAAGCGCACAGGGTGCACCGCCCGAAGAGCGATGCACCCCAAAACTAAAAGGCAGCAAAACGGCATCCAGCAAGACCCATCTACGAGGTGAGGGTCATGCATTTATGAGGTTTTCTTCATGAGAGAGCAATTTTGGATGGGCTGTGCTGAGAAAACACAAAATACTAGCTTGTATTTTTTCAAATTTTACATTATTTTTAAGGGGAATTATGTGACCTGAAGTTTGGAGGATGTTTGTTTTGATATGTCTGCAATAATGTGAGCAGGGCTGACTCCTGCAGGGGTTTTATGCTGATTCTGTATGTTGTAAAAGTGATTTGTCTTTGTGGACAGGTAGAAAGTTGGCACCAAAACAAGCACCTAAAATGTTGGTGAACATGTTATTTTACCTGACAATCCCCATGACAGCACTCAGATCTTGCTTTTTATCTTCCATTTTGAATTTGACTGGTTTTTAATGGTTTGTATTACTTATAAGGGTTAAAGCACAACTCCCTTGTTGTTCAAAGTGTCATAAACCTGCCTTGTGTTGATGTCCAGGAAGCAGCCCGGCCCTCAGAGAGCCAAGACACGGGCGACCATGACCACAGAGTATCAGGACAGGTTCCTTGCCCCAAGCTGCCACACCACCGTCGTCTTAACGTCAAAACTGAAAGACCCTTACCACCCGCTGAAGGGGACGAGTGCCGATGTGGCCACTTTCAAGTAAGATCAAAAGTTTCTGTCTCTTCTCACCTTTTCCCACTTGTGAGGTGCAGCTGGCCCTCTATACACCTCAACCCTACCTGTTGACAAAAAAAATGTAAAGGAGAAATGGCTCATCTCGCACCATTAACATGTTTCAGGTCATACTATGTGACCCACAAATGGACAAAGCATCCACCAAAGGCCCCACAGCCATCTATGCCACCCAAAACCCACCAAAGATGCAGCAGTGCCCCGCACAATCCCCAACAAAATCCTCTACACTTAGTGACAAACCAGATGGCATCCACAGTGGAGGACTACACATCAGTGTATAAAAGTAAGCAATCTGAGTCCTATATTGCAGAAATATAAAATGACAAATATATGCATAATGATTGAAATACACCCTTACTCTCTTCTTGTTTTCAGATGATTTCCGAGCATGGAAAACAACCAAGCGCCAGCCCTTTAAGCTACCTGACAGCTTGAAAGTCAACCAAGGATTAGTTGCCACAAAAGCTTCCAAAGATGGTCGCTCCCAGAAACATTCTGTGCAAGTTGCAGCGGACTCTAAGCCTGTCCCCGAAGAACCACCACAACCTTTTGAAAGCATCACCAGCTACAGATCAGATTATGTCACCCACCCAATACAGCCCAGGACTCGCAGGCAGAAGCCCGTGCAGGAACCTAACAGAGGTCTGCCAATGGAGCGAGTGTCCTCGAAGCCAAAGGGACCTTGGGACATACATCAACAGATTTTTGATGAAGCCAGTGAGTTCTTCCAGCAATTCAAGAACTGGTCCCTTGAAACCAAGTTCCGTGGTCAAGGTAAAGCCAAAGGGCCCAGCCCACCAGCAGAACACGACAAGTTCCTCTCCACCACACACGCAGACTACACGGCTAAGCAGTGCCAGCGTACCAAACCAATCCTGCCATCTATGCAAAGCAACGAGAAAAGCAAGGAGCCCTTTCAAGCAACGACTACCATGAACGAGGACTACAAAACTTGGGACATACCGCGACGCTTCCCCACTGTCCAAGAAAATATGGACTGGCCCAAGAGAACAACCTTTTCAATCATTACACCTAAGCCTGCTGAGAGCAAAACAAACCCAAAGCCTTTCAGCCATTCTCCCAAATTGAACGAGACTGCAGGCTGTGATTCCAACTGTAATGTCACCCACAACCCTCCATGCCCCGCTGAGAATGGAGCATTTTCTGGCTTTGAATGCATCTCCAACGGGACTGAAGAATCCAGGAGGTACTGGTCCACCTCTCTGGATAAAGGAGTGACTTGGTCCGATAGTAACATTTGTGAGGCACCATCCGAGGAACACCAAATCAAATGCATGGTTTCTAGCAGAAGCTAAACGCTTCCTAGAGACCAGGCTGATGATAAGATGTGGTGCTGCCACAGATTGCTTCAGGTACTTTCTACCTTTACATCAATAAAAGCCATAAATAGAACTGAGATTATGTAACGACAGCTATTTTTGTACAAGTAAGCACCTCACTGATACTCCGCAGCACATTTCATTTTCAGTATTATGTAATCTATTAAATTGAAGTCAATTCATATTGAGTCTGGGAAACAAGTTAGATAGCTTAGAGGCTTCAAAAGCATAATCTGGACCCAATGTCTCACTTTTTAACGGCAATAACTTATAGTACTATTTGGGCACGAGTCGAGTACATGAAGGCTGCTGCCTATGATTCCTGTTTTAACACAATCTTTATAAGAAGCACAAGTGTGTTATACATATCAAACAATAAATTCTGTAACAATCAAATAATGACATTTTATTAAAAAACTGAAATATCTTCAAAAGATAATGCCACGACGTCCATGTCTTGACTGGGAGAACTTTCAAAATCAATCATATTTACATCATATACAGAATCTTTTTTTAAAAAAACAGTCTATCAATTAAAAAAAAAAAAAAAAAAAGCCAAAATATCTATATGCATAGCAGCATTCCACATTATCTTGGGGGCTCCAGTGCAAACAAAAAATGAGGGGACATTTTAACAAGTTTAAACTTTTTCCAAGTTTCCGTTCAGTTCTCCTCCAGCTAAATCCACATTAACACCAACTGTCCCCTTTAAAACACGTTGTGTAAAGTCTACGCAGTGGAACGTGTCTGGTTGTCAAAAAGTAGTTTCAGCAGCCGTCAGTCTTCTTGGAAACGGATGTGCTTATTAGCCTCCCTGGCCCGGGCAATGATGATTTTTTCGGCTTTGGATATGAGCTAAAGTGTGAAGAGAAAATATCAAATTAGATGTGATTGATAGCAAATAAACAAAGCGGTTGCAGTGCTTTAACTGTCGTGATGGTGTGTGTACTGTGTGTTCATATGCCAAAATGATTCCAAGTATTAGTCCATATCCAAAAATTGATTGGACTCAGGATAAGCTGCATTTCAATAACAAATGTTTTTTTTTTGGTTTTTGTGCATTTTGAACATTATCATATAAAATGGTGTCTGTCAATACAATGTCACAACTAAATATTATACATCACAAATATCACTTTATTTGGATTTTTCATAATGTTGCTGTGCTGATACAACATGCTGTAAACATGTTGTTTATATACTCAAAATGGAAGAACTGATCAATAATATATTTGTTGTGCAAAGTATGTATATGTATTTTTCTATTTAAAAATGTAAAGGATGATCTCACTTTCTCTGTTCCCCGCTTCTTTTCCCTCGGACGATTCAGCTTGACTTGGCGGTCCACTAGGATCTTCTGCCAGTACCTTTGTTCATGGTCACCTTTGAAAGGCATTGAATACAGATTTATTACCTTACATTGGGACTAACAACTCTTGAGGCTTTACAGTGGTGAAATCTTAACTATGAAAAACAGAACTTGAGACAGGCTGATGGATGCTGTCCCAATAAATTATTTCCACTATCATCAATTATGAAAGTGCCAGCTCAGTCATCCACATCCTCTGCTCAACTGGAGACAGGAGCATATAGGCTATGCACAAATGATTCTACCTTGGAATGAGGAAATAAACTTTCATACCTGAGAGAATCTCTAGCTTCCAGCTGTGCTCTTTCTGCAGCTCTGCTCGAGCGTCACTGACAACTTTAGCATCCTCGGGGGAGTGAAAGCGGATGTAACCCTCAGCGTCTCCATCCAAGATGTCGATGTACGCCACTGGTGATATTTTACACAGAGCGTCCTATACAAAATAATCCACAAACAAGCACAATTCAATCTTTGGTTAACAATCGTAGTGATCTAGTAAATTATTACATGACAGTGCTTGCACCTGACCGAGAGGGAAACAACATTGTGTACATATGCCTCACTTGGTTATCGTAAATCTTTATGGTAATCTTTACATATAATGATGAACACATTTTTAGCAATACATTAACTGTGATATAGGCCAACCTGTCCACTCCGGCTTGTTTAGTAAATGCTACAGGATAAAATTGACTTTTGCTTTGGATCCACAGGTGAATCATGTTCATTCTGTGATATTATGCTCATATAGCATCACATTCAAAAGGAATTCACAAATGTGTATAGCCATGATATATAGGTCGACTCCAATTAAGAATAAAAATGAATGAGTTTAGGAATTAAAAACAGCACTGACTTCTGTGTCAACATAAAAAAAGCACCTTTTTCTAAGCAAATACAGATAATGACAATTGAGTTGTACTGTACTTTGAGGAACTTTCTCCCTGGTAGCGGCTTGTTATCTGTAATCTTCATGATGACACCACTGGTAAACTGAGGGCCTTGGTTAGCGGCTTTCTCACTTTTGTTACTCTTTTCCACTAGAAGAAGAAAAAAACAACAATAGAAGCATTTATTATATATTGTTAATTATTATGAGCAAACAGTTCAGCACTGAAATGAATCAGTTTGGAATTTTTGATAAAACTCCAGGAAATGGACTTTCATTTAGAAACTTGAAAGTTTCCGCACCACCCACACTTTCATATGATATCTATATAATAAAGTTACTGAGATTAGTGGACGCAAAACTCACTCTTTCCATCTTGAGGATCGGTGTCTGTCTCCATTAGACTCTTGTGCTCCTTGTGATCAATCTTATTAATGCACTTCTTCAGGGACGTCATACTGCGCTTCTGCAAAGTCAGATACTCTTCCTTCAACTCGAGCCATTCCTTCCTTAAGTCGGACAAAAGAAGAAGAAACATGTCCATTGGGTTCTGAAGGGGCTTTCAGTTGTTAATTCATTCTTGCTAATGCATGACGAAAAAGGGAAGTAGGACATTACTTTGATAAAACCCGGAGTGGGATGACCTCCTCCCCAATTTTCAGCTTCTCCTTGTGTTTCTTTTTTCTCTTCCTCTTTGCTTTCACTGTTGAATCATCTCTGTTTTCTTTCCCCTCCTCAACACCTCTCTCTGCGTTGCTCTGAGTGGGTGGATCTAAAAAGGGGAATAACACAGTTACTATAACAAGAACTAACACGTAGTTTCACTGCTGTAAAAACACCTCATCATACTTTATGTATTTATAGACTGTGCAAATTAAAAGCCCAGACAGTGGAAGGGGTAAAAGGAAACATATAAGTATTATTTTTTAATAATTTGTAGAGCAGTCCATAATAATAATCATAATCACTTACTAGTAGAGGTGGGCGATATATATCATTTGCGATAATATCGTCATTGTTGTTTTGACAATGTGCAAATTTCCATTATCGAGTATTTAAATTACTTCGACAAAAACAATGAAACGCCCGCGGAAACTCCTCATATCCATTAATACACGGTGCAGCAGCGCTCTCTACAGCATGGCAGGATTCAGTCACACAACTAGTGGGCCTACGTGATCACATGGCGTGATCACGTGACCTCTCGCTAGCATCCTCCTTGCAACAGTTTAGCAGCGCGTTGTGATGATAGAGAGAAAATGCAAACACCTCCAGTCCCTGAAGCTACCGGTACTTCAGATGATTTAGTGCCGAGACGTGGGTCCTATGGGCTTCAGCGTTCAGAGCGCTAAGCGCCTTCAGCGGTAAAAAGATGTCAGCGGAGACGGGTTTTTTTAGCGCAGCGCTCAGAGCGCTTCAAGTTGAAATCTGTTCAACTTTTAACACCGCTGGGCGCTCGGAAAATGAGTTTTTGAGCGCTCTCAGCACTGTAAATGCGTTTTGTGGACACAAGTCCAGCTCAGACAATTCTAATCACATTTTAAAGGATATCGACTGATTATCGTTATCGCCAAAATCCCAAAAAATATTGAGATATTATTTTTTGCCCATATCGCCCACCCCTACTTACTAGTCTTTGTAACATCCTTCCCGGCACCTTCACTTTCACTTGTCTTTCTTATCTTGGATGGTACTTCGCTTTCGGATCCCTCTGCTGTCTGTGACCTTCGCCTTTTTTTCTCAGACAGTTTGCCTGGTGTCTTCTGAGTGGTGGCAGCCTCGAGTTCATAGTCCCCTGCTGCTGAGCGCTTCCTCTTTTGCTCTGTTGGCTCTGCTTCCATCGCCTGCTCTTTGGCTTCTTCAGCAGGAGCCTGTACTGAGGCACCTTCTTTCTTTTTCTTCTTCTTTCGCTTTTTCTTCTCCTCTTCTTCACCTATAACAGATGAATGTCAAGATGTGGGGATCAATACGGCAAATCGCACCAACAGCCTTTTTCCTGATATCAGTTACTCATGATTTAATGTTTCTAGATGGTAAAGAGAAGCAGAGATGTAATTATTTTTTCTTTAGCATTTTAATTAAGTGTACCTGAGGGTGGATTGTCACCTGGCAGAGGAAGGGGCTTCCTGCTTTTCGTCCTGGGGAAAATCCCTGGCTTCCTGGGAGCATCTTCAGGGGGGTTGTTCAGCATCTGTTACCAAGATCAAAACTTTCCATGAGTTTTTGTCCAGCCAAAAACAATCACCAGAGAGACCAAATTCTCAAATATTTAAGGCACTGAAACTCTATTACATCATCACCTCTATGGCTTTCTGTGCTTCTTCCTCTTTCTCAAACTCTACGAAGGCAAAACCCTTGGAGTCGCCAGAAGACTTGTATCTGGGGATGCTGACATAAACCACATTCCCGCATTTTGTGAACACTCTCTCTATCCAGCTGTGTGTCACATCCTTGGGCAAAAGTTCCTAATTAAAAAAAAGAAAGAAAGAAAGAAATGTGTTACTTTGTGACCCAAGAGTATTCTTCAATCAAATTATTGTTTATTTCTGCAAACGTAGATTCCTCCGAAAATCTCATTACAATAAGAATGTAAAACTCTTTTTACCACATAGACTGTGCGGCTGTCGACATTATTTGGTATGTCTCCAATTGGAAGCTGACGCCTCACTTTATTTCCTTCTAGGTTAACCTGAAACAGAATTGGAAGACATTTGCGGTCACTGCATTCATATGACATTAGTTTAAAGCCATGTATAATCTCTCAAAATATTCACTGCTGTAGTGTTGTTAACACCGTTAGAGTGAGACATTTCTTAGGTGTTTTTCAAAAGAAATCCCAAAAAAGATTCACTTCACAGTACCTCAACCACAGTTGAATTTTTCAGGGCTCTCGCAATCAGCTTGGTGTCAGTCGTCAGCTTCTTCATTCGATTGAAGTCCACCAACACAGATATATCAACATCTAAGACATTTAGTACAATGTTTAAGACAAAAATCAAGTGTCTTCATGTCAAAACACTTATGGATAAAGTGGTGTATTATTGATATTGATAGCCCCTTACACCCATCGTCCGAGTCTTCAATGAGTTTTCTCAGAAAGCGATCCTTGTGAAGGTTGACATCTCCGAACCAGAACTCCACTTGCTTCTTCACGTCACCCAGCAGCTGTTTGACACGGGACCTCTTCTTTTTTTCCATCTCCTTGCTCTTACTGCTGAGTCCTGCAGCACCAGCATCACCGCCTCCCCTCTCTGTGTCAATCATCCTGCGGGTGAGACTGCAGCACAGGTCAGTAGGATGCACATTCAGAACATAGCACAGTGAATAAACACATTAACTGTCTCCATACAGGTGTATTTTCACATAAAGGCCGTGTTAGTGGAATGATTCACACTATGTGTAGTGACAGAGACAGTTTTATAATTTACAAAAAGTCAAATTTAGTTATTATAAGCTCTGTGAAATAATCTTTACCCCATATGCAGACTATACAAATGGTGAACACGCCCCTTTAAATGAATAATTTGAACTCTACTTAACGTAGTAAAACCACGTTAGCTTCATATTTGGCAACGTTTAACGTTAACTAGTTAAGTTACCATAGCATGCTAGGCTAGCCAATTATGTCTTACGTTAGCAAACAGTTGTTGAAGTTAGCTAGTACGAATTCGCGGGTCGTGACATTTTTAAAATGTTGCAGTCGTGCCTGCTGCATTTCAAACTCCGTCAGCCCTTCATTTAACATTGAACTGACGTTATAGTCTACAGAACTCACTAATCTGGAGGTGAGGAAACAGTCCAGTTTAACGCGCAGCAAACACAAAAATAACAGAAAACAGTAGCTCGCTGGCTAACTTCACACGAACGGCATTTGGTCGTTTAGTCGCAGAATAATTTCGTCATACCAGGGCAAGCAGTTTAAACAACTTCCGCTAAAGGATTCCAAAATAAAATGCACAATATCCGCTGTATGCGTTCAACATTTTATTGACAATTGTGCAAGTTACAATACATTTAATCATATTATATATCAATATATATATATATATATATATATTGATATAAAATAGTACGTTACATATATGACAACGAAACTCCACAAAGACTAAATGCAATGACATTCGAAATTAAAATACATTAGAAAACACATCAATATCATAATTTACTACCACAAATAAACGTTGTAAACATGTAATTGGAAATCAAAATAGTACAACTGGTGTAATATACAAATCAAGGTTTAATAAAAAAAAAATGTACTTGCACTTGACATGCTTTTATTTGGAAGAGAAAAACAGTACATCCGATCTCTAACGCTACTGAAGCAGTTTGTAGTTTTATTGACCTTTTTGTAGTAACGTCTAGCTAATATACACTGAGGCTCATTTTACCTTTCTACCCGTGCTATTCCTTTATGGTAATTGGGGTTTATTATTTCTTTAATTTGATGCTATCTGTGTGTTGGGGGGGAGGGGGTTAAAAGGGCCTACCGTGAACATATCCAAAGAAAAGAAAGCACAATTAATAGACATAAGAAATGTTAACTCGGTGAATACGACTGTACCATATAGGTCAAGTAGGTGGGTTGAACGTGGCCGGTTAGCTCAGTTGGTTAGAGCGTGGTGCTAATAACGCCAAGGTCGCGGGTTCGATCCCCGTACTGGCCAATTATCCATTTTGATCTTCCTACACAGTTGGTAGTGATACTGGTTGTTCACTTTCCGAGCTGACCGTTTCGGGGATTCATTTTGTCCCCCATGGAATGATTTACAGTAACCTGTCTGTAGGTGGCGACTTGGACTGCTGCTTGCCCCAGCTGTCACTGTTTACATTTATGATGTCTTATTTATTCTCCTGTACAGCACTTTGGTCAACTTTAGTTGTTTTTAAAGTGCTTAACAAATAAAGTTGGATTGGATTGGATTGGATGTTTCATAAGATATGGACCTACTTTAAATGCTACTTTAAATAATTATGCATTTAGGAAAGCTTATTAGACGTTATCTTATCACATATTTATGTTGCTGGTTTACTCCCACTGAAACATTAAAGAAATGTATTTTCAGGAAGTAAGAAGTTCAGAAAGCATTCAGCATCAAACAGACACTGGTGCTGTATATTATAGCTTATAATTTACTTGATTTTAGTTTGCTAGATCTCTGTCTGTCAGAGGTTTAAAATGCTCTCAAACTTTTTGAGCTTCTTGCAGATGTCGTCCTCGGTGCAGCACTCAATCCTGTGCTTGATCAGCTGTGATAGTTGCTTGTAGAAGGTCTTCGCCCACTGGGCTTCCAAGCAGTGGGCCGATATGTTGCACACTTTGTGGAGTACCATCAGTAACTTCTCGTTGCTGCTCACCTCACACCTTTTGAAGACCCACCCCCCCCACCCACCCCACATATCGTCATCTGTGAAGTTCACAGTTATGCTTTCTTTGGTGCACAAGGACTCTGGATCTGTGTCAGTCAGGTCATTCCATATGGCTCTGTATCAAAAGGGAATTGACAGAAACTCCATAAATTGTTGAAATATGGATAAGAATCATTTGTTGAAAAAAGCTAATCACTCACACAACTTTTGTCAGAGGATTTGGAGTCAAGTCAGTGAGTGACAGCAGACCTCTGTGGCTCACTCTGTTTCCCTCCATCCTGTGAAAGCACATAGGTAACTGTATCATGTACTAAACAATGTTTTAAATGTATATGAAAATATATTCAGCATCTCCCAAGCCCTATGTGAACGATTTTTTCCCCCCAGTGGTCCCTAAGCTCAGTGCAAACTTAATAACATATAAGGTTTCCACCTTAAGGTTTTTTAACAGATACATGTCAGTATCTAACCATCTATACACATCTATGCACTATGCTAACAAATCAAATTTTCAAATCAAAAAAGGCTACTCAATAGCATTTAATAATAGAATACCTCAGATACTGAACATTTGTGTTATACTGAGCTGGAGCGCAGCTGACCAAACAGTAATTTTACTGAGGTGGTGATAAAGTTGGCAGTAATAATACAACAGTATTTTCTATATCATCGTGTCTGTAAAGATTTTAATTTCCTCTAAATAAATGGCAACATATCCCGATACTCCTGCCCCCACAGTTTCTTACCACAATTCCTGAAGCTTTCTTTTCACCCGTATGGCGCTAGAAAGAGCCAGTAGTTCATCATCACCAATGTTTGACCATCCAAGTCTAAAATTGGTAACACAAAGTGTCAACAGTCTTGAAGCTTCTTTGTGAGATTTTGTTCTCTCAAAATAAGGATGATTGTACTCTGCTTTGTGCTTGTAATAATTTTTACATTAAAAAACAACATGTTTTTTTTATTACTATTAACGAAAGCTTCTAAAATCAATCTGACATCTTACCCTAGGTGGGTTATACTTTCTGACTCTTGAAGCACATCAGCAATGACCTGAACTGTGTCCATGTCGAGGTGGTTTTCTCCAAGCCTTAAAAATGAAAAAGTGGAGTTATTGCATAAGCCACATTTTCTTCAACCTGATAGTGCTGTTACTTCACACTTGACACTACATGCAGAGCAATACGAGTACCCACGTGGAACTGTAAAGGTTAGAAAAAATAACCTAAATAAAACCAAAGATAAATTAAAGAAGACTCAGTGTAATAGATGGGTGACTTTATGAGACAATGCAAATAACATTTTACCTGGAACTCACCAAAGACTCTTACATCTGAGTAGCTGGGGCTGAATATCTCTAAGTGCGTGGAAGCTTACTCCCGTCCCTGTCAGATCCAACTCTGATATTTCACCCTTTGTAAGGTTCAGGAAGTAGTTGATGGTATTGTAATCCATTTGGGAGAGTGTTTCATCACTAACATTAATTCGTAATGTCTTTGGTTGTACATCAAGAGCCAAAGAGGGGTCCTGTTGCTCAAACAGGCAGTGTAAATGGTTTAGGATATGGGCCCCAGTCTCGCAGAGCATCGTAAGTTCTCTGATGATCCTCTGACGATAGGTGTCCACTTTTTCCTGTTGGCAACACAGCCCCACCTGCCTAGAGAGAAGATTAGCGTTGCGTTCCGAGAGAATTCCAGAGAGGAAGCGGTTGAAAAGGTCCAAATGTCCGTAGTTGGACCCCTCCCCAGGACTTGCGGTGTGCTGAAGTGCATCGGGTAAAGGGTGATCTGTCACTGCACAATAAACTGCAGCAAAGAACTCTTGAACAGTAAGGTGTACAAAGGAGTAAACCTCTTCAGTGCAGCCAGGCTCTTGTGCCACTGTCTTGTCAAGGAAGGTACTAACAAGGCTGCATCCCTCTAACGCTGCAATATCTGGGTCGCTGCTGTAGAATAGTGTTTGATGCTCCATAAGCTTGTGAAAAGCGAGTCGACCCAGCTTCAACACAATATCAGACAGCTGCTGGACGTGCCCTGCTCTTTGCTCTTGAAGAAATGTTTCGGCTCTTCCTTGGGTGTGAGAGCGAAGCAAGGCCACCAGATACTGCACATAAATGTCTGTCATGGTCTTGGGGCTCTCTCCACTGAGGTCTTTGCTTTCTTTGAGGATGCAGCACACAATGTAGCAAAATGCAGGTATGTAGCACAGAGTCAGCATTAGTTCATTCTCTGATACTACGGCGAACATGCGGTAAGCAAGGGCACGGTCTTGGAAGTAACGCAAGAAGAAGTCTTGAACTTCAGCCAAGGAGAAGCCGGCAATGAGCACAAAGCGGTCAATGCAGCCCACAGGAATGTGGTTGATTGCCGAAGGTCTACTTGTGAGCATGACAGAAGCATTGGGCAGCAGTTCACCTTGCATCAAACTCCCAAGGACCTCCACCACTTCTGCATCTTCATCTGGCTCAGTCACATATACGTTCATATCACAGCTCCTGTAGTGTCTGAACTCATCAAAACCATCCAAAATGATCAGCAGTTTGTTGTCATTCGCTAAAATGTTATCCAGTTCCTTTGCCAGGTGCCTGTTTTTACGCAAAATCAACTCCCGCAAGTTTGTAGGTTTGTCAATCAGATTTAGGTCTCTGAAGGTCATGTGGATGATGAAGTCAAATGCAAGACTTTCCTTATTCCCCCCAAAATCTAACAGCATCTTCTGCACCAGGACGGTTTTCCCAATGCCCGCCACCCCTGTCACCAGAACCTTCTTGACTGGACAGTTCCCATTTGTGCTTGAAAAGAGTTTGGCTGGTGCAATTTTCCGATGCACTGCTGACTTCTGCTGCAACGATAGTCGCTTTTGTCCAAACGCCAGGACCTCATGTCTTTTTATTTCTAATCCCTGGTGTCCATCGACCAACAAGAGACTGACATAATGTTCAGAGAAAGCAATTTTCTCTCCGTGTCGAGTGTTGTAGAAGAGCATGCTCTCACTCCGGCGCTTGAGGACATCTTTATGCTTTTGTTTGACTTTGTTATACTCTGCAAAATAAGATTTAATATTAACTCTCACAAGTCTTTCTTTATGTCAACAGAACCTAAGAACATGATCATTTGATAGTGCTTCATGAAACACTGTATTCTTTATATGAACAATGCAATGTTATTCCAAGTGTTTAACTCACAGCATTATTGTCATTCTAAATATTATATTAAATGAACCAATGACATCTCTGTCATTGAATTGCATACCTACAGACTGAGACTGATCTGTGTTGCCTTCTTTGGAGTGCATTTGTGCTTCTTGCTGATGATGACTGCAAATTGAGAAAAAAATCTTTGCTGCTTCCTCGCCTTTACACTCCAGGATATCCAACACCTTTCTAACTCTTGCCCGTGGCCCCAGCCGACACAACACCTCCTCACGGTCATCACGAGTGAACACCTCTCGAATTACCAAGAGTTCCAGCAGAGAGTCAATGCATCCTTCGAGTTCATCCACGAGAGAAACTCGCAGCACCTTGATTGTTGTCAAACAAGAATTACAACCACCATTTTCCTCCATAACTAATCTAAAATAATCCTCAGCGCAATTCAGAAAAGTCATGATCTGTTGAAGGTGCCCGTTTGAATCGTAGTGTCTAGATTCATGTTGTAAAGCGAATTTCCTCTCATTGTTCAGAGGCATCCTGTGAATGCACGTCCCTCTTTCAGAGCTGAGTAGAATGTGAACTGTATGTTGTAAATACAGAAAGGGGAAGTGCTTCCCCATTGACATAATGACGTGGCAGTCTTGAACGTCGTGTTCAACTGGTTCATGATAGAACCTCTGTGGGTTGTGGTCTAAGTCAAATTGGATGGATTAGTGTAAGAAGCACTTTGACTAGATAACATTTAGAATTTTGTTCAAAACAAAATGTAACCCAGGTCTCTGAACGGAGTTCATTTTATACTGTCATCTGTTAATCACCAATTATTAATTGCAGTAAAGATATGCTACAAAAATAAAATCAGAACATACATGTTATTAAAGGAATGTATTTGGTTTTATTTCATGATTAACCAGGCATGAGCAGAGAGCAACACATCAAGTCACCAGCAGTGGGTGCCTATTGCATGCACATCAAATACCAAAAAACTGTCGGGAAATGAATACTTAAAACCCACCACTGTTATTATTTACAAAACTATGCACAAGAACACTCATTAAAATAAATAGTGAAAAGGACAAAACAAATATCTACATAACTTAAGAGCATAAGTAATATGTTAATTATGTTTTCCTCTCATAAAATCAAATAATCACACCTTAATGAAAGGCCAAGTAGTCTCCTGCTAAGGTATGTGTTGCACTTAATGATGAAGAATTGTGGAACCCAGGACATAATGTCAAAAGTGCAAACCCTGTCTATATGGTACAATAATGTATGGTACATGAATAATGATCTTTAAAAGCTTCCCTACTGTTTAACCAATATCCAAATATAACACAGACGTCATATTTACATATTTTAAGTTCAACTAACACTGAAATCTGTCCAAGGAAGAACACTTACATAAGAACTGTCAAATGTAACTTTGTTGTTTTCCTAAAATGAGACAGGAAAGCAAAAATATGAATTGACAGAAGGAAATGGGCTTTATGACCTCAGTGAGGAACTATTATGCTCAGTTCATGTTTAAACATGCTAACATCACAAAGTGGTTAAAGGGACATTTTAACAAAATATCTTTACAAAAAATGCCAAGATCACAAAACAAAATATATAAACAATGTAACTTTACAAACTAAAAAAAAAAAAAACTCTACAAGCCATGTTCTTAACAAAGACTTGGATGAGTTGAGTGCAAAATTGTTTCCAAAAATTGACTTGCTTCAGTCATACACCCCCATAGTGCAACCCATGCAAGACAAATCTTTATCTTAACCTACTTTTTATTCCGCAAAAAATGCACTTAAAACACCTGCAATCCTAATTCCTTTTCTCTTTAAATGACTTGACCAATCACTGTGGTCAACACATGCTAAATGACCCAAAATGATAGCACAGACCATGATCAGTTACCTAGGTGACTAAATGTTATCTATATTAGGCTTTTAGTCATTCTAGACAGTTCCCATTTATATGCAGCATTTTGCTGTATTTCAGTTTTAAACAAGAGTTTACCCATACGTCATTAATAAAAGCTTATTTAGCATCAAAACAATTTTTTCCAACACTGTTTTGGAGACCATTGCAATAAAGGCAAACACACAACTATCCAGTGGTTATCAAAAGCTAAGGGGTCTACCCAGAATACCAGGGTATGAAGTCAATCAATAAAAAAAAGTATATTAATTACATATTTGTGTACTGTTAGCTAAATTGTAATATAATATGCACCCTAGTTTGGACATGAAGTGATGGGGCTATAACAGATCATGGTGAGGCAGCACTTTTGTTCCATTTGTTTTAGGAAAACCCGCAAACCCCACCAGATACTATTAATGCGGACTGGTCATTAGTCACCGATGAAACAAAAGAGCAACCACTAATTTCTATTACACACAATGGAAATCTATCTTTGCTCTGGCATAATTAAGGAAAGCTGCCAGCGTGAACTTCTAATTTTAAAAAAAGAAGTGAAACTGAAGCCTTCACTAACAGACATGTCACTCCTCTCAAAACCTTCAAATTCAAACCCACACAAGATCACAGGCACTATGACCATCCAAACACTCCTACACACTCAGGAAACCCCATCCAAGACTGATCACTGAAGACAGCTGTGGGTGTAAGGACGGGGCATAGAGGTTTCAAGTCTCTGTTGGTCAGTCTGAGCATCTTCCCTGACCTATCCAGCTTGTCCATGGCCCTCGTCTCACGTCCCCACCTCAGGTGTTTCGGCAGGAATGACAGCAGCGGTTCTTAAACTGGGGCAGCGGACACAGCTCCAACTGCCGAACCTTCTCGCAGTACCTCGTGCTGTCTCGACACTCTCCTGCTGGAATACACAGAGGTCACAGTTTACTACACATACTCACTTCAAGCCTGATCACCTCTCCCCAAGATAGACCAAAGGGTTTCCTTTTAAATACCTTATTGAATGAATCATCTTTCAGCAAGCACTCAAGCCAGCAAGTACAATACAAAAAAAGGGTTCTCTGGGTGTAAAGTATGAATTCATCAAAATCAAAAATATCCTCCTGTAGGATCTAGCCATGCCGTTTTATGTGAAGCAGATTCGAGATATCAACTTCTAAACTGTAATACAGATTAGTGGAATTCATGTCTTCCTCCCAGAATTACAATGTAAACCATTTTTATAGGGACTGTCTGTGGGTTCCTTCAAAGTACTGGGACATTGCTTCTGGGAAGACCTGATGCTGCTGACATTTTTCAGTGCTCTGAATGCCAGAAGCAACTTGTTTGCTGGTTTTCCAGCAGAAATTTTAAAAACAAATGCTTCCAAACCTCTGCACATGAAACCGACTGATAGCAACAAGCTAGTAGTGTTCTGAGATCATTGAGGTGTGCTTCCTTTTCAGAGGAAATGTAGGACACCAACATACGTTATTATACTATATTTGGAGATGCAATACAACCTATAATAGATTCAGAGCTATTTTAAAACTATTTCTCACCTCTGCCGCAGGACAAAATATTGCATCGCTGCCAGCTGGGAGGGCGAGGCCTCCACATGCAGTGATGTTCACGTGTGGCCCTTCCAGTTCGACGGTGCATGCAGGTCACCTGGCGTGACTGGAAACCATGCCGTCCACAGGTGGCAGTGCACTGTGTCCACGGCCCCACACGCCAGTGAAGGGCACAGGCCTCTGTTGAGCAATTCTTCAAGGAGCTGGGTCTGCAAATACAAACACACATAAAGAAAAGGGTCCAAAAGTTGTCAGAGCAGCTTTTTTAACTGAAACACTCACATACTCATGTTCTGGTATCCATATTTACCTCTGGAGTCCACTGCACATCCTGTAGGGGACTTTGGTGGCATTTGTGTCTTGGCAGTAAACATGGCGGTGCTGTGTGGCCAAACTGGGACCCACGCACTGACCATGACACTAAAAGGAGATTTCATTAACATTACAAGCGAGTTTAGCCTTTAAATCTTAACTATCCCTCATAATAAAAGCATTTAGTCAAAACATTGTAGATTTATTTGCAAATATTATGCATCAGTTTTCAAACTGGGAAATTCTCATGGTACACCTGAGGGTTAACACAGAACAAAGGTGACTTCCCTAATAACAACAAACATTTGTCTCTAAATAGATAAGGAAGTAATAACAGGATGTTTTTTTTTTATTTGGAAAGAAACTACCTCAAATGAATTAAAATTCAATTCAGTTGTATTTGCATAGTGCCAAATCATAACAGATGTTGTTTTCAAAGAGAGCAGGTACAGACTACACAGTTTTCTAACAGTAACAGTTGACAGTTGTAAATAACACTCGACATAGTCGAGGTACAATTACTGAAATGTGTTTGTGCTCAGTGTAGGTAGACTCACCGGTCCCCAGTGGGTAGTGGTCCATCTGGCACAGGGCAGTTGGTTGCATAGCCTGGTGTCAGAGTGTCTCTTTCCTGTGCCAAGGCAGTGCTGACTCCCCACCTCTTTTGATCTGCCCTCAGGACCCTTCATGCAACGGATACTCCTGGTCTGGGACCCACCTCCACAACTGGCTGAACATGGTGACCAAAGATCCACTTGCCACCTAATGAAACCAGAGAGGAAAAGTGGACTATAATTTTATTTTATGAGCTTATCAGAAAGGTTCTGGGTTTTTTCATGCCCAAAAGTACTCCGCAAATAAGTTTCTCAGTGAGCAGACCTAGTGTCATCTGAATATTTTCCTTTTAAAAAAAACATGCACACAGAAATGACCCAGCACTTTAGGATAGATGGAACCTGAGCGAACCCCATTGAGGAATTTGAATGCAAACACAGACAGCCAGTGAGATCCAGTCTTATCAAACCTAATGTTCAAAGTATGCAACTGGACAAACATGTAGTAGCATCAAGGTACCTGAGGGGGCAGGCTTGTCCACGACACAGCTCAGACTGGCTGCTGTTGCCCCTCTCAGAGCAATTAGGGCCATTTGTTCCCATACCATTGCCTTCGACACACATTCTTCCTTTGCCACCTGAAAAAAAAAAAGAAAAATCATATCTTTGTGGTCTTGGATACTGCAGAAATCAAAAGATCTCCCCTTGTTTGTCTTTTTAATGTACTGATACTGCTGATAATAGTTTCAGTATCCTCTTTTTTTGTTCTGTTAGGACTTTGCGGTAACACATGGGATAGATGTTTGCATTAGTGATCTTACCAGTTCAGTGAGGACCTTCACAAACCTCATCTCAACATGTACACACCAGGAATAGTTAGTTAACTATTTCTAGCACTTAAGATGCTTTTGTATTGCCTCATAGTCCTGATATGTAGGCATCATTCTTGGTTTTCTTACTTCAAATAGAAGAAGATGAAGATACTAACTTGAATGTGCATCAGGTGAAAATGATAACACAGGGAAAAAAATTAATATGTTTCAATATTTTCTTTCTGTCAGTCTCTTGCTGCTATTACTTAACCAACTCAAAATGTTGTCTTTGACATTACTGAGAGGGTCATGGCCTATGCTTGTCCAGAAATCAGACTGCACTTTCCAAGAACCCAGGAAAGAATTATATTTTCAAGTTCAATTTCCCTACAAGAGTCATTCAAAGTACTTGGGATTGCATTCTTAAGATTTCTGAAGTGCGTCCATTAGACATGACCTTCGACTGAGTTTGAATTAAAAAATATAACAAAATGCAGATTCAACATTTTTCAGCACTTTTAAACCCCTTTATCCTGTACGTTTGGATTAGGCGACCGGGGTGAACCCACTTAATCTTCTTTGAAACACTGCCTGGAACCTCTAATTGTTGTCGTATGGGGAGGAAACGTACTGGAGTGTCAGGAAATTCGCTTTGATGAAACTGCAGCTATGTTGCAACTGATCATGCTCTGAGGAGACAAAGGACAGCGCAGCTCAGAGATGACCCGAGCTGTGGCACGCTCCGGACATTCCCCATCACTCACTCAGGCCAGATGAGCCACTAGGGTATGTAAAAACTTACTGTATATCTGTGCCTGTGGTTATGCTTTTTGTGTGTGTGTGTGTGTGTGTGTGTTTCTCAGTTGAAAAGAATGCTTTCCCAGAACCTCTTAGCCTGAACCACAAAAGAACAACACATATTACTTTAAACTGGACTACATAAAAGTATATTAGGACAAACTCAACTTGACATTAGGTTAATACTGACTCTCTCGTTTGTACTGTATGTGTAGCTGCAAAAGCAGTTTACAGTATTTGCTCATGACACACTTAAAGGAAGCTTTAGGTCCTGGTATGCCCCCCCCTTCTTATATATATATATAAACCATGGGAGCTTGACTACAACTTAATAACTAAAAAATAAAGTTTTGAATGTTAGGAAAATCATTATTTACACAGGATTACTTACTACCAATTACCAAGCAAGGATTAGATTAATTAGACTGACTACCTGTAATCTGCAGCCATGATGAAAGGGACGTAGACCCAAGACGGTTCCTTGCGGTGCAGGTGTACAGACCCTCATCCACCTTGCTTGGAGACTGGATCCTCAGTGAGCCAGTGGGCAACAGGACTACTCTGCCAACACAAAGACAAAGTAACCATTGAATCTATAACAATTCTGTTACACGACAAAATCTTCATTCCTTTTGCACAAAAAGTCACATTAAATGGAAGTTCTTACCTGCTGTTGTAGTGCAACTCTTTTCCATTCTTTGTCCATGTTAGGGATGGTTCAGGGTTCCCCAGTGCCTCACACCTCAGCTCCAAACTAGCAATGGGTTTCTGCAGCAAAGCTGGCACTCCCACATGGACTATCATGTCAGACGACATCACCACTCCGACCTTCCTGGAACGTTGGATTATCACCGGGTTTCTTGGCCTGGATGTGTGCGCTTTGATGTTTGGTTTGTAAAGGAGGGGCCCTGGCGTGGAGGATTCTGCGCTTTCCGGGGGATGAAGAGTAGACTCATTGGTTTCACCTTGTGTCATAGTGAGCTCACTGAGCAATTGTGCGACGAGTTGTTCGCCCCATGGCCCTTTGAAGCCTTCAGAGAGGTTGTGTGTGAGCTCATCTAACCTGTGGGTGTCTGCGATGAGTACGAGCAGACTTGGATGTTCTGAGCGCTCATCCTCCAGGGTCGACCTGTTCTTTTCACTTGAGTGTGTCTTATCAGCAATGTCTTTTTCATCTTCAGACCCTTTGAGTTCAAGCAAATGCTCAACAATGTTGTCATATTGGTTGAGGGAGATGGGTAGCTCCTGAAATCTTTCTCCCGTTGTGGACACATCTGGCTGCCCAACCTTTTGTTGTCCTCCTGCAAGGAGCCATACCTCTGGAATAGAGAGCTTCTGCTTGTTGCCAATGATTTGCAGGACAAAATGTTCTTGTGCCGGACCTGCAACACACGTGTATATCCCTGCATCGGATGCACGAACCTGATGAATCTTCACATATCCTAGTGATGTTATGGAGAGACGTGGGAGGTTGACCAGGGGCTTGCCTTCCTTCAACCATTCGATGTGGCCCCTGCGGAAGTGGCGGGTTGGACATCGAAGGACCACAGTTGTCCAGGGGAGCAGGTAGGCATAGCCTCCCACTACCAAGTGTAACTTTTTGCCCTTCCTCCACTGGATGTACACCTTCCTCTGGGCCAGTATGGTGGGATCAGGCTTGACAGAGTCTGTGAGGAAATGAGATATGAGAGGTGAATGGCACAGTCTGTGCTATCTGTACTCCTGTGCATTTGTAATTGTCAAAGAATGTCCATTGACACAATTTAAAGAGTGAAAATTTATGTAAAAATTTGTTAGTGAGCTAGAAAAACATCCCATGGGTAAGGGAACCAAAACAAAGGGTGTCTTACTGTCACAGAGCCTAAGGGAGCATGGCCGCACTCTGGTGGGCTGGGCAATCAGGGAACAGTTCTCAGGACCTATGGTCCAATGTCCCCCATCTTCCCCTTGTTTTCTGCAGACTGCCTGTAGTCTCTGAATGCCATTTCCACAGGTCACTGAGCACTGGACAAATACATGATATTGTAAGATATGAAAATGCAGACCCCTGCATAATGTACATTTAATCTTTAAAAAGGTAGACTAGTGCCTTGAGGAAACCCTACCTGGGACCAGCCTGTTGTGACCCACTGAGGTGGGCAATCTTGGTTGGCACAGGGCTGCTGGTTTGCAGGGCTCTTGGAAGGGCAAAATGTGTCAGGCAGCTCCAGGATGCTGCCATCTGCCAGTCGCTGTTTGCACAGGACCTGCCTCTTTTGAAATCCACCACCACAGCTCCGGGAGCACTGCAACCACAAAAACACAGAGGTACCAGGGGTTATATTAGAAATACATGTGCTAAATGCTTCAGTGTAATTGCTGGGCCAGGCATTTATGATACTGAACAGCCCAGGTGAGATCGTTTACCTGTCCCCAGTCATGTGTGTCCCACATAGGAGGGCAGTCAAAGCGGTTGCAGGCTTGGACGGGACCAGGCTTGGGGTTCTGACAGTCTTCATCCCTTAAAACCTCAGTACGGTTGCTGTCCCGAGAGGGTCGGTGAGTGCATGCCACAGTGCGGGTCATCAGACCAACCCCACAAGTAGCAGAGCATGAACTCCATTCTCCCGTTTCCCACCTGTGAATACAATGTTGATCATCACACCGCATATCATGATTTTACAACTCTTAACCTTGCCATTCGCGATTAGTTCCATTCATCTTTTGTGTACATATATACTGTATGCAGCCCATCATCCAATCTATAAAGGACTGCAGTCAGGAGGAGTTCAGTCAGAGTGCTTGAAGTTTTTACTTGATCCCATGAGAGGACACTCTTGCAGTCTTATGAATGTCTAAATTCATGAGAGTGAAATTCATGAAAGTGAATACGAGTGAAACGAAAAGAGTGATTCATGGGGCCGGATCCTGGCAAAGAAATGTTAAATCTCCCACTGAATTAAGTGATATTTGAGAAATCCCTATGGCATTGCTTCTACACCCGCATTTTCCCAATGACCTCCGTGGACCAATATTAGTTTTTTTGTCCAACACAATTTGATACAGGGTGATCAATCCATGTGTCTAATTAGTCGCTATGCCTTTAAACACATCTAAAAGCTTTGGCCGACATGGCAGCGACTTTACTTCTTGCTTGACAGATTAGGTGATTTTTGAAAACTATTCCTGTTTACTCAAGGGTACAGGGACTGAGGAGAATTGGGAATGAAGCTTGTTTCTGGACCGGTACTATACTCAAAGCCAAATCGTATAGCTGTTTCCCTTCAGAGGGAACAGTATCCAAAGAGTGTAGCTTAATATGGGAGGGTGAGGAGGCCTCAGGGAGGGAGTAAAGGGCCAAAGGAAACAAGTCCAATACAGCGTTTGTTGTGCCTGAAAACAAGACTCAAGGCCTGGAAAAACAGGCAAGAGCAGGCTGCAAGCCTCTGGGTTTTCTGACAAGAGTGTGAGTGGTGGAACACCGACACTGAGCACGGTGTTAACTTGAAACGTGTGGCCCACCGCAAAATCCATTCACCGTTTAGCCATGGCGCAGTTATATTAAACAACATGTCATTATGCTGTTTAACCATTCAGGTATTTCATTTTGATTAATTTTGTGTGCGCTCTCTTCAAAACAGTATTTGCAATTTCACATATGCAATTCCAACATTGTTCATTCACTGTATTCTAAATTGATAAACTATTAAAAAACGTATAAAAAAACAACAGCAAAACGTTAAAGTTAAGCAATGAGGACTCAATGTTAGGGTACATCTAAAATGATTCTTAAATGAAAAGGCTGTGACAACAACTGACTAATAATAGCACTAACATCATAGTCGCATTTCAATCATTTCAAATTGAAATTTAGTAAGGAGAGTCGTCATCACCAGAGGACGGTGATCTAAATTAGGAAAAACTTTCTTTTTGACCAGAACTTTTGTCCATGACAAGGTATCCCTAAAACTATGTTACCAGGGGCTAAATTGTGACTTTACCTCCAAGAGATTGTTTAAACAACCTCTAATGGGTAGATCACTATCACACTTGTTGAGCACATTCATGCTCCCCAGAGGATGAATGCCTTCAATTTTCAACACTCAATAAGCTTTCCTTTAGAGTCACCCAAAGGTCAGCTTTGTACATAGCATATGTAAAACTAATAATAATCTTATTTCCATTAAATCTTTCAAGGACATTCAAGATACCCAGAGGAAGAGTCTGTATGATTTTGGTGACTGCTTTCGGGTATCACAAACATTTTGGATTTTTCCTGAGCATCCCCTCAGAACAAATGTTACATTGTTAACTCATATGATGTGTGGTCACTAAAGATCATTTCTCGCAGTTTTAAAAACTAAGTGTCTTTTTGCTACAGTAACTTTTTAAACACTAACTACACAGTCACTCCAGAAAAATGCCATTATGCGATCGCATAATTCAATGCACAAATCAGCCAAAGTCCGCATATTATGCGGGGGCCGCATTTTTTCAAACACGCCGCACTTTCGCCGCATAAATTGCCGATTTCCACGCAAAATATGCGGGGCTTGCATGATTTCATAATCCATGCATTTTCGTTGAAAACAAAGTCACATATATCTTACCAGAAAGTTGAAAAATGTTGCGTTTACTTCACTCGAGCAGCCATTTTCCCCTGTTGCCATGGGAACGTTATGAAGTGACGTAATTACGCGACATGGACATCATCGAAAAGCTGCAAACCCCGCGATGAAAACCTTACAGTTGTAAGTATATTAGTAGTATGTAAATTTACGCTACAGTAAGAGATTGCTCTTTGTGCATTGGAAGCCCTTATTTTAACAGAAGATGTCTGTTTTGTATAGCGGTTTTTGCAAGTTCCCGCAATTTTTGCAAGTTCCCGCAATTTCATCGCATAAAATTGTATAAATATCCTGCATATTCCATCACATTCTTTAAGAAAACGTGCCACATAAACAAGGATTTTTGCCCGCAACAATCACAAAAAAACTCTGCATTTTTCTGGAAGGACTGACTACAGCAGCAGAGGCACACAGAGGCCACATTTCTGTGCTGACACAACCACTGAAAAGAAAAAGAAAAGTTCTTCCAAGGACAATTTCACATCGGAGCCTAGCAGGTATAGCTACCACTGACATCTGATCCCCGTTGCGTCTGATTCTGACCAGGTTCCACAAGCTGTCCCACTGGCTTCATTTCCTGCTCTCAGTGATACAACCATCCATCTCTGTCATTCTGCTTCAGTATCTCTTGGACTCAAATGGCCTAAGCGCTGATTTAATTGGCCCAAGTGGTTTAAACTGAGAGGGATAATGTAGTGGATTAGAAGGATCTGAATCTCTTTTGTACACAACCAGTGATTAGCAGAGATTAATTGATTCAACTAGTGTGATGTGTGTTTTTTGATAGTCTGAAAGTTAAACTGTTCCAGGTGTAAAACCCAGGGATGCATCAGGGCTCTAGGAAATGGTGCATCAATGTCCCAGCTCCATATATTGCATATTTTGCTGGGTTACAGTCTTGGCAAACTAATGAAGAGCAGAGCCAGATTTCAGTCCTGTTTTTAATTAATATTTTCTTCTTGAATGCAGCCAAACCCTTTTTCCAAAAACACATTTCCTCCGCATTTTTACTGCATCCATCAATCAAGTGTATTTTAATGTGCATGCACAAACCATTTTAAACAATGTCTGTGTTCTGATTTGTGGGTTTCACCGTACCTGGGTGGGCAGGGCTGAGTCTGGCAGTCCTGGAGGAGTTGCGGGGGCCGACGGGAGCTCACACATTGGCTTTGGTCTGCTGCCTCCCTGGTCTGCTTGTTCAGGCAGATGACTACAGCCTCCTGCACACCTGGGATTAGACAGCAGCACCGGGACGTTACAAGGCAATTCCAAAGAACCATGATCTATTTGTGCAGGGTTCAGTCATAGTTTTCCACTTTTAAAACGTTAATATGCACATACTTGCTGTCCCTAAGAATGAATAGCAAAAATGCAAACACACATTGTTCTTGTTAAGCATCTCTTACATATTATCACATATTGCAAGCAGACACTGCAGTGAAGCAATCCAGATCCAGCCCCTCAATGAAAGCAAGCAGTGGTTGTATCTAATGGGGCACAATGGGCATCAAAACTTTACAGCTGCCTGCTTAAGTTCTGGCATGGACTGTGGATAAACTTAAAGGGTGTGATGTCAGGTCATGTTAAAAGCAATGCAACATAAATCTCTGAGTCTGCTTCCAATGTTGGGGACAATAACAGTGAAGCAGGCACTTCAAACGCCACACTGGTGTGATGGTCCACAGGAGCGCAGCCCTCAGAGTGTGTATGTGACACCCGATACCAGTCTGTAATCATCCCCGAATGGGAGTTTGTTGGGTTTGGTGAGCGCACACACACACACACACACACACACACACACACACACACACACACACACACACACACACACACACACACACACACACACACACTGACAAAAGCCTACGCCCATGTGCCGAAACTAAGTTACACATGCACACTTGTGCAGACATTAACACACAGACACACAATTCAGGCATAAAGGCTTGGATGTGAAGGTGGGGAGATTAAAGTGGGTTTTAACGAATGTTGGCAGGATGTTTAGGAAAGCTGTCTCTGTCTGGCGCAGCATTCACTGCTGCTGTGGGAGCCGGTAACGTATGACCTTTAGGGTTAAACTTGGTATTCCATCCATTATCACCTAATATATCATATAACTTCTACTTCAAAGCCCATACTGGCATGGCTTTAGTCATGCACTGACATAAAGTCCCTGTTTACTGCTGTGACATTTTGTTTTAATACAGCAACTGGGACAAATTCAGTCACACTGAAGGAGTGGGGTTGGCCTTCAGTATATACTGTGCATTCACACTAAGCAATATAATGTATTGCTGTATTCATAGAGTAAAAACTACTCTGGCATGGGTTTAATGTAAGAGCCCACTGACTGTTAAATTCAAATCCTGATGCAACCAAAGACTGTTAACTGTCCTCTTCCTTTTGTCTTGTTAACTTTCCAACTTTGCATTACTGTCCTTTCTAGTTTACTTCTAGTTCTACCTCTAGTTCTTTACTTTCTCATATTAGAGATCATTTTCCATACCTCCACCACAACTCTCTGAGCACTCCGTAAACCCCTCATACTCCCAGTCGTGGAGTTCCTCTCTTTCAGGTGTCTCCTCCTCTTCCTCCTCCTCCTTTTCGCTTTCTTGTCCTTTGCCCAAAACACCAGAGCAGGGAGTACGGTAGCAAGGCTGACTCATTGCAGGTTTGACGCCCTCACACTCATCATCCGGCAGGTCAGCAACAGTCTGGGAGAAGGACAGCAACACCTGGCACTTGACGGTCCGTTGCTGGGTCCCTGCGCCGCATGTCCTGCTGCAGGTCTGCCAGGGACCAGGGATGAAGCTGGAGAAGAGAGCCAGCAGCATTATTAATACTGTTCATTTAGTTAGTATACTTCACATACCTATGCAAAAAGGCTTGGAAAAGAGGTAAAGTATTTGGTTTGATAAGAACAGTTTCCAAACCCACAGCGCTGACTTGAAAGTATTTTGATAACAAGTCACAGGTTTGTAAGCATTCCCCCATATACAGATTTTACTCATTTACTGCTAAGTTCATAAACTCAATAAGTATTTATGAAATCCTGTCCTACTGCGGTTAATTGAACAGCTGTGAAGCATTTAGGATCAGCCATTCTTGGATAAATGGCTTTCATGTGCATTTTCCTCAGCTTAAAGAATGGATCAGATAGGGAAAGACTTGTCGATCAGCGTTCATGAATTCCTGAAGGCCTGTCAAGGCTGGGTGAGAGTTAGGGCCCAGAGACAGAATCACACACACCCCCACATGGAATTATGTAGCAGTGGGAGTGTTCGCATTGAATTTGTAACACATGATGCACGTGAGACCCTCTAATGGACCCATATTAATTATCTTTCAACCATGAAAGGAGTCCTCAGTTTTAATGGTTCTGATATTTCCCCATACAGTAAGTTTAACAGGCTACACAAGACATTGTGGGACAGCTGTAAACTACAAATAAACCCATCTGAATATTCAACACGAGAGGGTGAAAGGGTTTAGAGGCAGTTCATTGCTACCCTTTCCTTTGCACAAGGGTCTATGTTTTATAGTCTTCACTGAATTGTTCTCATTACACCCAGTTATGCATCTGATCAAGACTACAAAGTGGCTGGAGTCTGCCCAAATGTTTACAGCATTCAGCAGCTGTCTTGTCTAGGGCTGAGCTCACCATATTGGAGATTTTCTATTCATGCAAATTAATCTTTAACACAATATCCTCAAGCTGCACTGGCTGTACAGGATCACCTTTGTCACTGAATGGATGCTATATCTGCATTGGAGCTCCCCTCAACTGACTGAAAGACCATGAAATCCACGGAAATAATGCAGATAGGTGGTTGCTCAGCATTACTGTATAAACAGTGCTTGTGCATGTGTAGTTTTGCTCTAAACTGTTAAAACCAGGAACATCCTGAAATTACTACTGACCTGCAGACAATCAGAATTAGGGCCAACTGTCACGGTATTATGAACGGTGCTGCAATTGCTTAGCTTAGCATCAAACTAACTAAAGATTCTTTGAACTGAAAGAAACAATTTTAATCAACAAACTGATCTGTAATTTCCACCACGTTATGTAGAGAAACTTGGCTCAGCAGCTCACTTTGTGATTATGATTAAGTCTCCTCAGTGTTTTTTTATGTGTGGTGTTAACTGTCAAAACAATTGCTATTTCCTTTTTCTCCTTTTGTATTCATTTCATTCAAAATGGGAATATGCTTGATAGAAATATTGTTTCTTAAGCCCAAAGTCCAGGAAGTCACTTCACTCTCTGGGCTTATTATACTACCAATGTAGTTTCCTACAGCATATATTATCAGTGTGCATGTATCTCATAGGAGGTACCTACTAGCATGGCAGCCTGCACCACTGTGCAGCACTCTGTTGTTTGAGCAGTCTGACCATAACACAAGAGCACCCTGCTGTTTTATAAGATGCCTCAATAAAGAGCTCATAATTACAGCAAAGTTGGCTCTTTATGAGCGCTCAAGGACTCATTGTGTTTTGGACAAACAAATGAATCACCGGCACTTGGAACACAAGCAACAAAGTCAACAAGTGAACCCACAGAAATGTTTATCTTCATGCGTAGTTAAAGTACATCTGTCGGTTCAAAAACAATCTTGATTTCGTTCATGGACGGAAACAACACATTTTTGTCATATCTGCCAAAGCCCCACGTTAATCATATCAATTAAATATCCATCAATGGAAATACTTTATTTACTCGTTGTGATGGAAAAGGGAAAAAAGCAGGTTTGGCCAAGCTGGGGAACATATATGGATTTCATTCTTCATGCAGTTGCACAGCGGTGGCCCGGGGCAGGCATAAGGCCTGGCAATGGAGGTGCAATAAGTCTAACACAGGAATTTCCTTCTCTTTCCTTTCACATCCGTAACCTGGCCCCATATGGTAGGCAGATATTGTTGTTGGCTTGTGAATGACTGCGTATTATACACAGATATTTATGTGCTTTTGGAGGAAATACATGCTTTTTTTGCAATAGAGCAAAATCATATGTTTTGGCCTCTCTCTCTTTCACTCGCTCCAAAGATAAGTCAAAGTAACAGATGTTGTGAACTGGCTAACATGGTCGCTAATACAAGTCATGCAAGACACTGGGTAGAGTCCAAACATTGTCCATCTTCTGAGGACAGCCTTTATTAGTCAATTGATATGTGGGACAAGAACATCTGGAACATTTGAGGCCTGCTGAGGTAATGCTAGTGGCCAGTGACTGAACAGTCCACTGGTTTCCAAAAAGTTGTTTTTTTCTTTTTCACCTTCAGCTTCCTCTTTTACCTTAAACAACCTCATACAGCATATGCATAACTTAGATCTGACACTACACACCTTCACTTAAGTAAAACAGCATTAAACATCTAAATTTAAGGGGAATTCTTCTTTACTTGTCTTGATAAAACTGATATAAAATGATAAAATATTTTGAAAAGTCTTTGAAAAATGGGGCCTGCAGCTTTACATTTTCACTCTAAGTTGTTGTAAAAGGCTGTTGACACGACCTATGGTGGTTTCATGGCAGCACAGGGCCCTGTCAACTTCAATTTCACCTCCAGGTAAATCCAAAGCTTTGAGTTGTGAAAACTGTTGTTGAAAGGATGTATCTGGGATCTGACTTTTGATTCTTTAGCCCAGCAGAGTGATTTAAAGAATTACATTTGCCCTGATTTATAGCTTTAGCAGTTGTATCCTCCTAACTTATTTATGGTATAAAGCGCCAACACCTGCAATGGTTTCAACAGAACATTCACCTCTGACAGTAATCTGCAGGTATGTGGTTGTAGAGCCAGTAGATATAATGAGAGATTTATGTATCTAAAAGCTTGAATGGCAGCTCCTACTGCTTTCAATAGAATAAAGCAGCAAATAGAGAAAATAGAGTGATCCCATTAATATCCTTTCGTTGTGGGCAGGCATATGTGGGAGCCTGGTACTCACGTTGGTTCCTCAGTAACGATGGTCTCCTCCTCCAGTTCTATGGCCTGCTTATGCCACACAGGTTTTGCTTCAACTGGAAGCGTATCTAGAGATAAACAGAGAAAAGACAAATGTAGAATATCGCAAGAGAGATGCTATTTTATTCTAGAAATATGTCCAAGTTTGGTGGTATTACGACAAACAAATAACAATCTAACCCACCCATGGACTTATAGCAGGGCACAGTCACCAGGCACTCCTCCTTGATGTGGGGTTTGGTGGTGGGGTTGCAACCTCCAGCGTGGAGGCCTCTGTGATCGATGCATAACACCACCCTGTAGCGAAGACCCTGACCACAGGTCACCGTGCACTGGTGGTGACAGGACAGTTCAGGGGATATATTCTACAAATTACTGATCAACTGATGATCACTTTCACACACAGACAGGCTAACGTGTTAGGTCTTGCTTCTATGGTTTGCTGTCTTTGCTTGTGTTTGACAGAAAGCCTCAGCCCTTGAGGGAAGCAAAGAAAGGAACCTTCAAAAATCCCTGCAGCTCTCTGCGCAGGGGTTGAACTTTGTGTATCCTCTGCCAAAACAAGCATTTAAAGGCAAGTTCATCAGGAAGAATGTGCTAGGTAAACAGCAGCCCAGGTTTTTAGAGGGCCACAAATTTGACTCCCTGTGCTTGTGCCTGTATAACTGGTGAGGTTGAAAAATCCCCACAAGGAAGTTGCATGGGACATTTATGGTTAATGTAACAGCAGCTATGCCACATAAGTAAGTAAGTGTTAGATGATCCACCTCGATAACCTGGATGTGTTTGGCAAAGAAAAGTCTGTCCATATGTGCTGTGGACTTTGGGGTTTTAAGTAAAGCCTTGTGTGTTTTGGAGGGCACGGGTGGTGAAGGGCACTCAAATTTAGGTTAGCGGTGCTACTCTGAATTACACGGCAAGGTTGTACACAGGTTCCTGTCGTGTTGCCTGAAGAGATGATAAAATCCCAAGTCAGACTGTCTGTTGAGTATATTTTGGTTTCTCCCTGGGACAATTAATCATGCTTTTTTACACCACGGGCTGATTTAGACCTACTGTGGTGATTCACAGACTAAAAAGACAAATGAACCATTTGCTAATATTTGACTTCCCAGGTAGTAACAGCTACAGAACACACAGCGACGTCTGTTTACATTTGGTTACTAGGCATTTTTTAGCTCAACTTTCTCAACATTTCAAATTTTGTGATCCTTTACAGCACCTCACAAAAGAACGACTGCAATCAATGAAGACTCTGTATGGCCTTTAAACTTAATTTCACTGGAACCTATATTGTGTTTATACTATGTAGAAATAATATTAACCAGTAAGAAAAATGATAAAAAACAGAATTAAAAGGGGAACCTACAGGTGACCACTCCTGTGCCAGCCAGGTGGGGCAGTCGAAGGTGTTGCAGGGCTGCAGGATAGCTGTCTTTGGGGAGTAGAGACACTTCCATTCCTCAGTGGGAGTGATGACACCCTGCATGTCTTCCTCCACACAGGATACCGAGCGACTCTGGATGCCTCCACCGCAGGAGGTGGAGCAGGCGGTCCAGGGACTGCTCTCCCATCTGATGTCATAAAAGGTTAGTCATGAAGTCACGGATGGAGATTGGTTAATGTCAGAATTTTTGTAGTGTGTGTGTGCTATGAGTACATACCGAGGCAGAGGATGGTAGAGGTCATATGGCATAATTTGCTTGTAGCCATCACTAAAATGCAGAATGGGTTAAAGAAATTAGGATTTTGGATCATACATGCGGTTGAAAGATCACTACCATGGATGTCTGGAGTGTTGAGTTTAATCCGCCTAAAGGTTTCTCACCTGGCCAGGCAGGGCTCCATGTTGCACTCCTGGAGTTTGGGTTTAGGTTTGACGTTCTCTGGGTAATAATGGCAATACTGATCTACAACCACCCGGCCGCTCCGAAGGTCAAAGCACTCTGCTGAGGTGAGCTGGTAGCCTGCAGACAAGAACAAGTGTCACTCCACTCCCAAAAAATTACACAAGAGCTGACACTAGAATGATCTATCAAAACATAATTATTGGATCAATAATTCAATAGTCGGAATTTATCAAAATTGTATTATTTATCTGCTGCAGAAGATAACAGCTTTTAATCAGTTGCAACACTGCAAGTACTTAGCCCACAGTGCTACTCCATGCTTACCTCCACCACACGTGACGGAGCAAGGGAAGAAGTCGGTCTCTCTCCAGCGGTGGATGATGGGCTGGTAGTAGATGTACTGGACCACACTGTCTGCTCCACTGGCAAACTGCACCTATAGAAACAGTGTCTATGGTTTATGCTAAAACAAGGCTTTCATTTTGGTATAATAAACCTAAAGAATGATGAATGGTACCAGAATGCATCAAAAAACAATAGTTTGACAGCTGCAGTCAGGTTCAATTTAGCTAACAACTGCAATTCAAATCCCAGCAAGTTCCGATTTGACTGAGCACATTTTAGACTGCAGCTAAGCTAGTCATATAGTTCACTGAACTTGTTTATATTAGGAACTGCTATATATTGAAAGATAGCAGATCAATTAAAGTGACCACATAACTTTATAAGTTAGCATCGCCAAATCCTTTCACACAATTTTAAACACTCCCTGATGAATAGTGTGTGTTTTTTCCTTAATTAATTAACTTAACATAGACATTAAGTAATTCATGATTTGCTTGCCCAATCAGCAAACTACTGTGTCATCACTCCTCAGCTGATATACATTTTAAATTACCTTTGTTAGCAATTCTCATAACATGCTAATTAACACCAGAAAAAGTTGGTTATATATATCTAACATGAAAGTGTTACAGTTTTTTTTTAAAACAGATCATATTCTAAAAGATAGCTTTTTCTGCATTTAGTTTGAAAAGTATATCTCTCTTCCCTTTTGGCTAACAAAACAACTGCTTTCGGTGATTCCTATATCAATTCATTGACACTCTTATAAAAATTGAGTCAAGACATGAGACTGAAGGGAAAAAGGCTGATGCAGCTGTGATGATAGTAGCTTTGTTCAATGACAGAGCCAACAACTGACTGAAAGATACTGGAATTTCACACACAGACATTGGAGGAATTTGACCCTGAATACCCTGAAATGCCAGTTTCCGCACATTCAAAGGTTGAACACAGCCTCTAGTTGTATAAGGGCCGATCATAGGAAGTAATCATTGACTGGATGAGAGCAGATCATTTCTTAGTGCTTTGCTTAGATAAGATAAAGAATACGGACTGTTGTTTTATACAAATTAGGCCATGTCATGTGTTTTGTTGGACATTTTGTAAAATTTCATAAATATATCAGCAAACACTTTTCCTCTAACCTCACTCCTCAACCATACTAAAGAAATGCCCAAAGCCAGATTATACCTACAATACGTATAAATCACTCTGCTGCCACTCATTCACATGCATGTGTTTACAGTGGAAAGACTGTCTGGCAACTTTTTAATATGATTTTCCATTTGTGGAAACCATTTCCAGCAATGTGATATGAACTGGCTGTCTGCCTTACAACAGATTAGAAAATTATACATTTATAACCTCTCAGATTTCTGTCTCCTGATTTTCTATTTATTGTCCGATTCTGACTTGTGTTTACGAGGGGGAAGTTTTCACAGGCGTTTTCCAGTCCATGGCCTGTAGAATGTTTTATGTCCACTCCTACTGACTAGGAATGTGTGTGTGTGTGTGTGTGTGTGTGTGTGTGTGTGTGTGTGTGTGTGTGTGTGTGTGTGTGTATGTGTATGTGATGTTGTAGCCATTGTGTTGTGGCATCGTAAAAAAAAAAAAAAAAAAAAAAAAAAAAAAAAACGCTGCTCCACTTCTGAATTTATGGACTGAATTTATGTTGTCAATACAAGTTTCAACTAGCAACATTTACACCATGGAGTAATATTAAGTGTGGTAGCCAAATATATGAAATCATTTGGCATCATTAAGACAAAACCAACCACTGGATTTGTGTGCTACTATTGTTATGATTGCATGACACGCTGCTTCGAAAACATGTTGTCCCTCAGAGAGAGAAAGCAGACAAAAAAAGCTCTTTTGGATTTCATATTTAAGAAGCTCACACATACTCCGATATCTTAAAATCTAAACATGTGAAATCAAATCTGCTTTGAACCTTGCGTGACACCAGGAGTTCACCAGGAGTTTGTGGAAATAAAAACCTTATCTGAGCCCAGTTTGGCTGTGTTGATTTTCAGAGCTTTGCATTGCTAAAACTACAGTTTGGAGCTGAGCTGCTGAAAAGACAACAAAAATGTCCCTCTGATGTCAGCTGTTTGGTAGAGGGAAAGTTAAGTTGCTGAAGTAGCCACTTTGCTCAGTTGAACATTTCCAATCTACAGTATTTTAAGCACTATTCATTAATTCTGTCTTGCCCAATTTGGAGCAGTGGAACAAGTTGTAATCACATCACTGACATAGTATAAAGTTGATATTTTATTTTATATTAGCAAACACAGTTCTTTACACATACGGCAGTTATGGAGCACAGTTAGCATTCATTTGCCATATTTCTGGCTACCCGACAAATGTCATATTCTTTCTCCTTTTTTTCTCTCTCTGTTTTTGGTCTCCACCAACTCCTGAGGGAAATATCTAGCTCTTTAGCAGTAAAATGCTCCACTATATTAATCAGCTAGTCTGCGGGAAACTAAGGATGGTGATCATTCTCTGTGAGTTTGTCACACTGAAAAACTTGGTTTACATTTAAAGAGTAAAATATATTGATTAGTGCAGGTTTAAGTCACTTGAATTGATTTATTTAAGCTCTTACTTTGATAGTGAAGTCAGCTCCGAGTGGGCCAGTGATTCTCAGGACCTCCTTATCTGAAAGTTTCTGGAAGTCCAAGCTGGTGTTCTCGAGGTGGTACTGGCCTGACTTATCCAAGACCAGCTCATCTTTTAACCCCTGTAGGGTCTTACTCTCCACGTCTAAAGAAGAAACAAAGTAGATCGCTAGAGCACAATGTCAAAGAAATCAGACAATGGCCAGATTATTGCGTCAATACACACTTCCAAAAACAAAACGAAACAGCAAATAAAGGAGACACCATTAAAATGTTGACATACTCAAAGGACGAGTAATTTATCACAGCTATCACACCTTTGACACAGACCTTCAGTCAGATCCAGTTAGATAAAGAATGCAGACTGGCTGTTGCGTTTGAAGACTCACGCACATTGAGGCTCATGTAGTTCTGCTAGCAGGCCAGTGCGGCAGTAACCTTACTTCAACCCTGGCCTAACAGGGTTTTGTGTGATTCCAGCATGGACATTTAAACAAAAACAACGGGGAAACACAGGAACAAGCAGTAACCAGCAGCAGTCATCTGCAGACAGATGGTTACAATTTAAATGCCCTTGGCCAAAAAGAATGGGGGAAATATTTAATGAAAAAATCTGTCCATTCAGAAAAAGTATTTCTTTTCGCCTGGCTCAAGAAACAATCTGTAAACTAACCGTGGAGCAAAGGAAAGGTACAGAGATGGAACATTTGTTATCGATTTGATCCAGTGGGGAGTTTGATGCCAGTACTTTGACATCAGTGATATTTGCTGGAAGCTTTACAACTTTTCAGAGCCAGAGCAACAGGGAAAAATAAATACCTTGTCTGGTTATTCTGCTCCAAGCTAGTCTTAAAACCAGTCCATATGAGAAATCCCAAAATGTAATAAATTTTGGAACAGGAAATAAAAGGTTAATCATTTGGTTGAGATTATAATTAGAAAGGTCAAGAAAGTATAACATATATAATGAAAACGTAATATTCTTTTTGGAACGAAATTCATTGTAACATAACATGACCTGCAGTAAAACTCAGAGCACATGCAGAATATGTTTTAATGTGCAGGTATTTGGCAATAAAAAACACACTGCCAAATATAAATATCATGTTCAACTGTTTTGGATGGAAGGGCACCCTGGACCTACCAGGACTTACACAAGTGATCCGGGCCTTTCAGGACTAGACGGACATGACGACTCTTATAGGGGATGACAACAACTGTGTCCTCAGCTTGAGTGAGACAAACAGACAGAGGGAGAAAAATATCATGAAGCATCTGATCAATACTTACAGGAATGCAATAAACTTAATATAACAGAACTTGCAATAGGACTACAATCAGAACAAAGGTTGATTTAACCCCTGAAATCTACTATCTGATATTTCTGATAATGAACTTGCATACTGCCATGTCTTTTTTTTTAAATTCTGAACATATATGATGAAATTAGTACAAATAATACTGTGAATCAATTTGAACAAAACAAATGACATTACCTAAAAAGCTAAAAAAGTTAGCTTTAAAGGGGCACACCAGTGCTTTTTGTATTGCACCTCAATAAAGTTGGGGGACTTGCGAGACACAGATTAAAACAAAAATGTCAAAATCAAAACAGCAGAGGCCGAGATATCCTGACTTTTAGTCAGTCAAGTATGGGTAGCTTGACCCAGAATCACTGGATCCTACACTTCCCATAATGCAACTCAATAGAATCATTCATTAGGCCCTCTCTGCCTATAAAATGTCCACCTCTTTAACACTTAAATTAGAATTTTAAAGTCTTTACATTACTATAACATTATCAGTTATTTTCTTAAACTTGACCAAGCCCTTCCAGGAACACAGTAGACATTTATACAACTGTTTTCACAGGATGAGCAGTACTCCCCATGACAAGTAAAATCAGTGGAGAACCTCCTTAACTCAACTTGAAAAGTTATTGTGTTTGAATTTACCAAACAAAACTGCCCAAGTAAAGATTCTTTACTTTTTCCTGAATCATGCTGGGATTTGTAGTGTCCTCGCACCAGTCTGCAGGATGAGCCATCTCCATTGCAGACGCCGCAGTTGTCCTCCTTCACTGTGCTCCCCAAATCATGATCACAACCTACAATCTATAGGAATAAACAAGGACTTTTCACTTGATTTATCATCTTCAGATTTAAAATAAACTCCGATTTAGATGTTTTGCAAAACAACAAAAGGAAATACAAAGAAACACAGGAACATTCCAGTGAAAGTACTCATGTTGGTTTCTTTCTTTATTTCTTCAAATTTTGTTTATTAAGAAAATATGTTCCTTCATACCATGTAAATGTTATTATCAAATGATCCAAACAACCCTCTGGTTTCTTTCATATACATACCAAGTGTATTTGTTTGTATTTCTAAGATGAAACATCTCCTTTGAGTTGATGGGTTTTTCCAAAAATGTTCCCCACTGTTTTCTATTACACTTTATCTTCAACCATCCGTAGTTGATTGATGGAGTTTTGCGCAACTTCTGTCGGTAAGACAAAACCGAAACCACAGTGTGATTCTAAGCATGGTAAGAGAGTGTGTTAAAAATCCTTGTGTGTCTCTGCACACACAATGCCTTGGGACGTAATTTCATTCAACCGGGAAAAAATGCATTGTAAACTATTTCCTGGACTGTCACTCAAAAGCCCAGCCTCAAATATTACCCTCATTGGGTATTCATTTGTAAAGCAGATGACTTTGTTAACATTGTAGGTCAGCCTACTGTATTTATTCAGTTTTTGTGAGCCAGTAAATATATTATATTCATTGTTGTGTTAACAAGAATACATAAATGCATGAAATATATTCTGTTCTAGAAATAATTTGCCTTTTATGGGCTTGTATTTCGTATATTTTGACAATTTGCTCAAATTGGCTATTTTTAGGTCAGCACTTCCTGAGTTGAGGTTTACAGTTTAGGGCAAAATATGTGTCTGAAACTGTAAACCCTTACATTTCCTTTTCATAAACATCTAAATATTTCATTATCTCAAGAAAGATGTCTCAAATTCCTGAAGGATGACATCTTCTAAAAGTAATTTGTTTTCATGTTTCATTTTTCATAAAAGCTTTTAATGTATCCAGCTGCATTGGCATTGCATATTTGTCCTTTTCCAAGATGGCCCTCGATTTAATCAAAGCCTGTGACTGTTACCAGCACACTGGTATGAGACAGTACTCTGGGAGATACATTTTTCAGAATTTCTCAATAAAAATGTTTCTAAATCACATATTTACTTTCTGAGAAGTCTGTCTTGGGGTGCCAAAATGTGTGATTTTGATTGTCTTGTGAGTTCCACAATAGATAAACTAAAAGCAATAAAATACAATACAAAATTCCTCAATGGCGGAAAAACAATAAAGCTCTCTGATTGTTTCTCCTACCTGGCAGACTCCACTGATACACATGTCCAAGGACTCGGTGTAACAGCGTGTCCCATCCAGCACCTTGGGCGCCAGCTCCACCACAAGGCCCGTGCCCTTGGCTTTGCACTTGAGAGCGCAGGGGTTGTCTGGGTCATTGTACACAGGCAGCCATTCATGGTACTGACCCTGGTATCGCACATCTGCATGAGCTGAACACTGCTGGGCACGGAAATCACCTGCATCTGGAGGGCAATCCTGAGGGCAAAAAAACATTCAGCCAATATTTATAATTAACGGCGAAGCATAACACTTGCAAATGTGTGTGGGAAGAGGAGCGTTCTCACAAATCTTGGTGCAAGGAGTGCTGAATGTGAAAGTAGTGATCATCGTATTAAATGAAAGCAGGACTATTTTGATGCCGATCCCTCCCAGAACTTCTCACTTTCTCCCAAACAGGATCCCAAATCACTAAATTACACCCCTCAACCATAAACCTTGGTAATATTTTTACAGTCCCACCACAGTGAATTCTCAATCACAATTCGCTATTTCAGTTCATTTCAACAAAAACCACTTGAAAATTTTAATGACATCCATTACATAAAGATAACTTTGCTGAACTTACCACATTACTGCATGTGCGATATTTGATATTTTGCCCTTCACAGGTTCTGTAGAAGACAAAATGAATGTGTGGGTGAACTTTGGGGGTGAATCATAAAACAAACCACAATGCACACCAATCATCTTCACCCGAGGCATTGACTCTTATTGTTTTTTTGATTTGCTGAGCAGTGATTGGAATCCTACAGTGATGATGTGGCAACCCACAAACATGGGGTCTGTGGTATGTTTGCAAAGATGTAACAGTCTAATTCACACAATGTGGCTATGCATGAATAGAAGGGTTTTTGTGTTTGGTTTCAGACACAATGAAACAGAAGAGTGATTGTCAATTTCTACATTTATAATCAATTTAGCAAATAAATGAGGATTAAATTATAATGGCTAACCTAATTTCCACTGGCTTTGTGAAGTTGTACCATGCGAACCTGCTCATAATGACAATGCTAACACGTGTTCAGCAGGTATGATGTGTACCGTGGTTTGGCCTGTTAGCATGCAACATTTTCTAAATATCACAAACAATAAACACAACGTACAGCTGGGATCTTGAAAAGTGAGTGGCGTTAGTCCCACATTCCCAGTGGAAACCATGCCTCGGTGCTGATCATTTGATTTCAAACTAGCATAACTTGAAGTAGAGGAAAAAAACAGGAGTATAGGTACTGAAAATACAAAAATCTAATACTAAATTCTCATTTGTCTTAGTGATTAGTCTTTAAACAAATCCTTGCTTTACAAGCCAGCAGTACTTCACATATAGTAGTAAAGCAGACACAGTATAGGGCTTTTTGAGCCGTGTCTGCTGAACAGATTGGAGCAGTTTGGATCCCGACTCTCTGCATGACAGTCTGCAGTGTCTTTGCCCAAATTATGGAGCTAACCACTTATTGAAAATTAGGATTCTTTTGTGCTTTGATGCTGAGTGATGATAAACCATTGATGGTGACTATGATAGGCCAATTATCCAAGACCCCAGTGGAAACTAATCAAAGGATATTCTTTTGAGTTTTGGGAACTTGAGAGGAATTCCAGTGTCATCGGCCCTTAGCTAATCTGGAATCGTGATTGGAGGCAACATTGCAGAGTTTGGACGAGCGCTTGAGGATTTTTATAATATTATTCCAGAGAGCGGGGGGAATGGATGTGAAGTGTGTGGCATGGCAAGAACATTAAACCCTGTGACGAATCCAGACAGTCCCTTCTGCCAAGCCAAACAGCAGGTCATGGGGCTTGAACCAAAACAAGAGACTTACAAAGACCAAGACTTGAGAGACAGGTAGCAAAGATCTGGATCAGTGGGACGAGTAATATATAAACTAGACATAAAAAAAAAAAGGGGCAAAGGGAATAAAATGAATTTCCATTTTCATTTCCTCTTGACTTTGGAAGCTGCTACGTGGAGGCTAAGCAGAAGTTTCATCATGGCGTCATCACAGGTTAGGGAAAAAAACCACTTGGTTGAAATATCAGAATTCCTGGAGCACATAACCCATAACTCACAGACTATGACCCTGCTCTTTTCTGCCAAATATACACAAAAACACACAACTACAGAGAGTTTGCTCATCAATTAACTACACACAAGACTTCACAAAGAGTAAAACTACCATCTAGCATGCCAACAACCTCATCCTCAGACAAAAACTGAACTAAAATCTAGTGTAACCATGAAAAATCCATAGTAATAACTTCTTAAAATACTGGATATGCAGTAAAATTTGTCTGGCTCATAAAGTCCATATATATGTCATCAACTCCTCTTGCTAGATTGAAAGTAATTGCAACCAGGGCTTCATAACCTTTGCCATAATATTGATACACTTGAGGGGACCGGGCACATGAAAATGTAGCTGAGTTTATAATGCCTAAAATACGCTCTTGCTCTGAGCTCTGCTATTGATCAGTTTAGGAAAATTGAGAGCAGTCAGGCCATTTAAAAAGGGTAATATTATATAAGGTAATGTCTGTAAAATTGAGAAAGATGAAGCAATAGTAGAATAACTACTCGTCTACTTGTTTGTTAGTCAGTCCACACTGAGACAACATTTACTATAAACATGGTTCCTAGGGGATGATTCATCATCATTTTAATGAGCGCTTGACCTTTAATCTTGACCACTATCTGTGTTTGCAATTTCTCCTTGACCAACTCTTTGACTATAAAATATGTATTTCTGAATTACAATAGTTTTTTCCTCTAGTTGGTCTAGTCTAACTTTGATGATCCCATAACTTTTGTCTATCCCCATCAAAAGGTGAAATTTGTAATTGGTTGAATACTGCAAAATGAATAACATTCCCATGAGCTTCACCTGTACTTAGCATGTACAGCGTCTAAGCATTTTAACACAAAACTACAACAAACTGACAAACATCTTAGTACAGCTGCTAGCATGCTAACAGAGCTGCTAGCATGGCTGTAGACTTCTGGTCTTACTACATTTTAGGCCCTCTAGTGGTAAGGTTTTAAAAACCAAATTATAATGTTTATTCTCTCTGGGACTTTCATATTTTGTGGTGTAATGGAGGTCTTCCACAGACTCATTGCAAAGTTGTAGATTTTCATCATGGCTCCCTTCTTTACTTCAATCATTTTCTTATTTTTCTTTTTTGCCTCTTATGATTCTAAATTTCAGTATTTTAAAATCCAAATCTAAAATGAGTTTGGAGTCTACATGATCTGTACACAGATTGTTGTTGTTTATTTTCTGGCACTGTAGAGAAGGGCCACGCAGAGGGTGGTCCCTCATACTCTGAAGTAGGAGACATAATCAAGGTGCCAGGCACAATTTAATTAGAGCAAGTTAATTAGTCACGGCCTTGGAGAAAATTCACTTTTAACAACCAAACCATTTAAATATAGACTTTAAACACAGCTGTGGCATGCCATTGGTGAAATTCCAAAATGCCACAGTCATTTAATGTCACTGCCAGTATTTTCTGCAAATCAGTGACCCAATGAATAGTAAAAATATCCTGATCAGCAATGAGAAGTTTTTTGCAACACTTCTTAAATTGTTCTTTGTCCTTGCCCGTGGCTGCTCATCTTTATTTCCTGATGGTGGAAAGTTATCAATGCGTTGCGTGACTGATGATTTAAACAAAGTCAAAAATATATCTGAGACTGGCCTCTTTATTAAACGAAATGACAAAAAGACTAATATCTGAAATCAGCTGTCAGCCTCATGAAAAAAATTGAGCAGCGCTTTCTCTTACCATGACACCCAATCCATATGTCCACACTTCCTTCCACCCAGCTATGCTGCTGTTAATAATAGAGATTGTGATCAAGTGAAGTGTGTTGTGGGGGTGAGACTAATGAGGGCCAGGCGATCTGTGTTTAGTCTGTACTTTGGATGTGCCCTTTTGGGAGGTTGGGCTCTTGTGCGCGTTTCTGCATTCGCAATTGGTCCTACGTGTGTGTGTGTGTTTAAAGGTCAGAGAGTTGGAGTGGTATTGGTTTGGAGGGTGTTGCAGGCCCGTTTCCAGCCTCTCTTTCCAAAGAATCACACACACACAAGGGGCCTTGTGCTGTGCTTTTTAATGACGCCGTTTGATCTGCCACGCGGTTCTAGGCTACTGGTCCCTCATTCCCACGCAACAGCAGGGTGAGGTGGGATGAGGTGGGATGGCGGGTCCTGCCATTTACTTAAGAACCCCATACATTACTGCTACCGCTAAAGGACACAAGAGTTTGTAAACATACCCACCTGGAATTGCATGAGCATATATGTAGGTCAACACATACACACGCTGCACACATCCCACATGGAGCTCAAACCCTAAACACCTCTTAACACGTCAATTGCTTTTACAGCCAGTAGCATTCCGAGGTTTGCCTGACCAAAAATTTCTGGGCAAGCAAAGAGAAATGGCTGCTGCTGATATCATGAAATAAACTCCTCAAAAAGCCATTTACCTCAATGTTTACAATGCAGCACATAGGGGGTCTGGCACTTGGAGTTTGAGGTTTTGACAGTCTCATGCTTCTCAGCCTGTCTTCCCAGTACCAGTGCAGACAGATTCATGGGTATGGAACACTGGAAGCACCTTACAGTACATCTGGGTTGTGACCTCAGGTATGATCTTCCCTGTTTCGTCAGTGTGTCCTTGGACAGTTACATTGTTTTATGATCTCACTGGTTGCTCCTGTCATTGCTGGAGCTCCCCCTGAAGCCCCCAACAGTGAAACAGAGGTGACTTTGGCAGCAAAGCTGACTGGCTACCTTTAATGAGAGAGCAATACATTTGGGAAACTGTAAAATAGAGGAATGCAGTGAAGTCACCCTGCAGCTATTTCCCAGTCTATAAATTTGACAACATGTCTATGGAAAACATACCCTCTCAGTCCTTCTTCCGTCTCCTTTTTTTTTTCTCTTGTTCCTCAAATCCGTTTGTAATTGACCACTTTGCCCAGTACACTTGGCCAAGAGCTTTAATCTCGAAGCCCACTGGGTTAGCTCGAAGCCTAACCAACCGGGTGACTTTGGCACCGTGATGAAAGGACCAAGAGGTCCAAAGTGCAAGTTCCAGTTCGTCCCGAGATTTAAGCCGAGATGATGAGCAGTGGGAATCCAACCAATGTGGGTTCGTTGCTTGCAGAGCCCAAACTCTATCACAGGAAAGAGTTATTAAAAGTGACATAAACTTTGGCAAGGGACATTGATTGTTATGCTCTGATTTGTGAAGACGCATGTCCAGGCCATAACTGAAAGTCAGATCCCCATTGTCACTGATGAATTCAAGATTTAGGCTCATATGGCCGTCTAGACAGTTTTAGGAGGTGGATAGGCAAGTGATCTCAGTGGACCCCTCAGGGCTATTTAACAGTCACATTACAGTCATATGTATTTTGAGCACTCCCATTGCAGCCCATGGGAATGGAGCGATTGGTGAGATTTACTCACACTATTAGGGACGCTGTCTGGATTTATTTGCCAGAACGGCCCTGAGCAACAGAAAAAGACCCCCCCTTCCACCTTCCCTCTCTTGAATCTTAAAGCCATGATATGGCACTTTAATGGAAACCAGTCCAACCCCAGTCAGAACTTTGCTCTTTACAAGAGGAGATTACCTCGGATGGTGTTTGAACACACGCTTACAAATTGTCCATGTGATGTTTCCATTTATCTGAAGTTAATGAGGGCAATGAGGTTCTACCTTGAAATTATACATTCAATTTACTGTTTATCCTCCTCTCCTGTGATGTAAGCATTGCTTAAGATGGAGACTTACTACATAGCATCATTCTGTTAGTAGTCTCATATGTCTTTGCTTTTCGTAATAGAAATATTGTTTCCAGCAATTTTTCAAAGTTGTAAGGGACAATTAGAAATGTTACCAATAAATGAGAATGGCAGAGATTACTCATTGAGGTGTGATATAGGTATAGTATACTGTATATAATAGTCAAGAGGAAAGGCATAGGAAAAAGGGATTGAGTGTTGCCCACTACACTGTTGCCCATGTTTTGTAGAGTATGTATCAGGCTTAAGGTTAAAAAGTGGCTAAGAGATGGCCTTACTTGGAGCTGAGGCATCGTCGGAGGGAGTATGAGGCACCTCCTCCACAGGTACGGGAGCATTCACTCCACGAGCCCCAGGCATCCCACAGAGTGTCTCTGTCCTCTTCTGATCGGGCCGTCCGTGAGCTCTTCACACCAAAAAAGGAAATGAACATGGTTATACACATGAGTGAGCTGTCATGGACATCCTTGAGCAGTTTGCATTTTCACTATTATCACCTCATCCATTCTTTATTTTATATAGTGTGTCTTCATTTCTGCCAAGACCCAACCAAACATTCAACAAGATAAAACTGAGTTATGTTCTAATCTCCCGTTTGTAATAAAAGCAACCTGTATGTATCTTCCTCAGCCATATGAGTTGTGGCTTCCTCTGTTTAAGCAGATTATCTTGCAGAGCACACAACAAAAGATAGAACTTAGTTGAGAGTCCGAATTAAATTCCAGGAGCTGCTGAAAACGAAACAGAAGTGCATTTGACAGGATTGAGAAAGACTGCAAGGGAAAGCAATGAAAAGCTCTCGACTTTTGCCCTTTTGCATATTTCAAATGTCTGAGTCATCTTTTAGATTATGAAATGTTGGTCCTCTCTTAAACCTCGGGCCTCACTTGTGTGTCTCTCTCTCTGTTAATTGCATCATGCTGTATTTGGCAGCAGAGGTAGGGATATTACTGCGGGATCCAAATTCAATATTATGAGAAGATGAATTTTGCGACTGCAAGGACAATGTGCATCTCAGATGTAGAGTGACAGCCAAAAAAATAAAAGATCCTCTCCAACCCTCTATCTTAGACTATTTTAACTCCTCATTGCCTTTCCTTTGTATTTCGGGATTATATTAGGCCCGACTGGCTCACCTTGCTCTAAACAAGGTTTATTAGTAAGGTTGGCTCTGTCATCTGATGTGGATCATCTGAGTTATTTTTTTTTCTCTTGGCTTTACTCAGCAGTGGCAATCTTCTCGATGCCCTTTGCAGAACTGACGGAATAAAGTTAAGAAAGCTACATTGTCTGAATACCAGGCTCATATAAAATGAAAAACAGGATTGATTTTGCTATCTAAGGACAGCTCAGTTCGGTGGAAGTATCCCACTCCAGTGAGACTGAGGCCAAAAAAAAAGTGGTTCTATACCTGTTGAATGGGTGAAAACCTAGAAAATGAAAAAAACACTTTTGGAACTAACACTGAACAAATCATCCAACCCCCTATGGCAGCAGGAATGTGGTTTAAAAGACCAGAGGTGCAAACACATTCAATAAAATAATCTGCCATTCAGAGGTCTTAAAGCCATGAAAGGGAATAGATGGATATAAGAGAAAATTATCATTTTCCACAATAACCTGAACACTTAGGCAGTCTGTTTGGTGTTGGAGAGCCATGAAAGAACATTTTAACATTGCAGAAATGCCGCTTTTGTGCGCTTTAGACAGCCTCCCACAACGGGACGGTGCAGTCGTGGTGCTTGCACATCCAGCAGAGTTTTAGAGAGGGACTTAAAAATCCCAAATCCTGCAGATTAGGAATGAAATGTGAGGCACAACAAGCCCACTTGCCCTGAACACACTGAATAAAGGAGGGACTATGAGAACTTTATGTGTAACACCTGCTCTTAAAAAGATTTATGCCTGCTGAGCTGACAAATAGTTTATAGTGAATGTCCAGCCTTGCATTTGAGATACACAGCCTTGGGATTTTAGAGGAAAAACTCAGGATACGCCAGGTTATTTTGACCTCTTTGGCCCCTTTTCCCAATAGCATGGCATTGTGCTTTGTCTACAAAGATGAATGGATCTCGCAGAGGAAAGCAGATACAAGGTTATAATACGGCCTTGATTATTTTCTTTGGGTCACAGTAGCAAAAACACCCATGCTGTACACTGTGGAGTGGGGTGGTGGGTTCACATTATTAAAAGTGCGTGGGGACTGATATAAATGGCTGTCAGTGCTGATGACGCCTGAGGAACAGCAGAGGGGAACGGCAAGAGCTAAACACGCAGCCAACGGAGCATGCGGCCAAACACATCGGCAACGGCGCTACTTTCTGCACGTGCCAACTATTTCAATGTTTGGATCCACGGTAAATAAACACAGGCTGTGCTCTGGGCAGCCAGTTAGCACACCACGTTAATTCTCCTTTGAAAAGCAATCAGTGAATTTTGCAGTCAATTACGGCTGGAAGTTGTGTGTTGCAAAGCCAAGAGAGCCAGAGGCATAGCAAGGCTGGTGAAGAAAGAGGAGGGGAAGTAGATGAGGGGACAGAGGGATGGAGATGAGGAGGTTGTTTGGCTGACTGTGCTGCTATTGTTCTCAATGGAGGCGGAGGAACACAGGGCTCCTCGAGTCGGACGGCCGTCCTGCTGGGATTTGAATCCAATAATCACAAGGCTCGGATATCCATTTGGAACCTTCTATCACTACACCTCCTACCTCTCCTGCTCTGATCCCTTCAGGGTTTTAGCTGCACCTCAACAGTTTTACACAACAAAGCATGTGCATTTCAACATATTTGTTCTCTGGCTCTTTTACTATTAGAAAAACAGAGCCAATGCATAACCACAGAGGCCCCTTGGCTGTCACCCATCCCACGTTTTCACATCAAGTGAAAGAGAGGAAATAAGCATATGATAAAAGACCAGTGATCTCCACACTATATGTTATTCTGATGGACAGATTCTATTTAAGTCACCTGTCAGCATACTAAGGACATTTTCCTTGAAGATGGAAAACTCCTCAACAGGGGAAAGAAACCCGACTCTGGAGCCTTTTTTGCAGACTGTGTCAATATACATACGATGGCCTTTTCAGTCGGTAAGACATACGATATTTGCACATCTGCTGAATCCCTTGTCGTCTGCTCCATGCTGCATTGCACTGTACTTGCCGTCATGCCGCAAGCAAGGCAGTCACTGTAATGTAACAGGGAGTCCTGACCTCAGACAAAACAGCTTGCCGACCTGCGTGACAAGTCAACCTTTTGTGATTTAGATCAAAAACACAGAGGAGAGATGGTGACTTCTGAGCAAGAGAAAATAAGACCAGGTGAGTCAGGTGACACTAACTGCCTGCTACTGTTGAAAAGACCTGAAGAGTGCATTTCGACTGCACCAATTCACAAAATCATGAAATACAAACTGTACATGCATACACACTTGTACACAGCAAAGCAATCTATTAGGACACATGCTTTCTGGATGCATTACTTGGTTTGGCAGGTGTTTTTTAAGGGAATAAAACAAGATAAAAGACAAAAACATCTCTGAACAAAATGGGGTTTTTTTTCAGGATGAAAATGGAGGAAAGTAAACATTACAGTACCAGGATGAGAAGAGCTGTCACCAGTAGCTTGCAAGATAAAAAGTCTTGCTCCATGCCTTTTCAAAATGTGTGAGTCAATCACTCCAGTTCTGTTCTGACTGTGTGTTTGTTTGTGTGTGAGCCCGATGTGTGATGCCCTCCTCTCTGGGTCACTCTGTGTGTCCTGTCTGCCTGCCGTCTCCTCTCTGACTTGCTCCCGTTCTTCCTCATGAGTAACTTGGGGAAGGGGAGGGTGGGAGGAGGGAAGAGGGCTGCGAGCATGTGTGCATGTGTGTGTGTGTGTGTGTGTGTGGTTTTTGTGTGCAATGCGGGGGGGGGAGAAAGTAATGGGTGGGGGGATCCGAGCCCCACGAGTCCTTCAGGTCTGGCACACCAGCCAATCAATAAATGGGCCTCAGTCAAGCATGCTAGTTCAAATAAGAAGCTGGGCCAGCTGCAGCTTCACAACTTCACACATTTTTCTGTGTGTGTGTGTGTGTGTGTGTGTGTGTGTGTGTGTGTGTGTGTGTGTGTGTGTGTGTGTGTGTGTGTGTGTGTGTGGGCGTGAGTGAGAGAGAGAGACAGTCAGTAGGAATAATGGCAGACAGACAACAATTGTAAACCAACTTTCTTCTCCCTTTGATTCTTTCCATTTCTTCACCTGATATCTCAAATTTCTCTCTTACAGTATATTCCTCTCTTTTTCCTCCCTGCTTGCCTTCCTCTCATTCTATTTTGCTCGTGCCACTGTTTCCCCATTTCTTTTTAGCTCTGGCCGGCTTTGCTCTGTCTAGTGCCAGCACTCTGTTTGGGAAATGTCAAAAAGTCTCAGTCATACAGAGTAAGCTAATCTGCAAGCATGTTTATTGCCGGTTGACCACGTTTTGATATGGGTTTGACAGTGAGTATCTTCAGACAAATCCTCAAAGCATGCACAGATATACAAACATACATCTTAACAAAACTGAGACACATTAAGGAGCACATGACTTCATGTCCGGCTCCTGACTGTGTTTTGCTTTACAAGCTAGTTACATGTGAGAGCCCAATGGAAATCAGATGACATAGTCTGGTCACCGAAGCTATCAGGATCGACTTCTCAGCCATGGTGCCTTTTTTGTATTTCTTTATGAGCTAAAGGTCTACTTCAATAGAGCCTTTCATAACATCTGGCAGTTTAAGCCAGTGAACATTTGCACTGTGGAGGTGGGGAACAAGCCAGGTGTCCCCTGGAGAGACAATTCCTCTGGTTATAGAGAAAAACAAGCTGTAAGATGGACAGCCCTTGGCACAGAGGGAATATACTATACACTGAGTAACTTTCCAGTTTTAACGTTTGCGATGGCAAGACGCAAAAACAAAAGCCGAAACAGAAAGTAAAAAAAAAAAAAAAAATTGGAGCAGTCCAAGTTAGCGCCAACCCACTGGTGCCCCTTGATGTAACTTACAAGGTAGCAGGCCATCATTCAGGCATTTCAATCCTGACGTTCCAAAGACAATAAAAACTCTGTGCCCTTCAAATCAAGACTTCAAATCCACCTCCCAATCAAACACCAAATCAAAAACCACATAATTGCTATCAATTAAGGCTGTGAGGAATGTGCTGCACTCAAGAGCAAATACGCAGCAAACCCTAATCACAACATCGGAGCGGATGTCTCGACACTTAACCAGTACACACACACACTTTTTATACTTGACTGATACACAGCAAAACCAGTCTTGAAGTCTTAACTTGCTGCTGGCAGTATGCGACTTGGCTTGTTTGATTTGGTAGTGGGCGATGTCTGTACATTCTGCGAGCTGAGGAATTATCTGTAATGGACACGCGC